GGACACCCGTGATCGTCAAATCGGCCCATATTCAATTTGGGTTGTTGAGCTCATTTTTTCCCATGAGCTAGTGGGCTCACACTAGCATCTTCCATATATATATATATATAGGATTGGATTATGTATGCTCACTGGCTGACCGCTACAGTAAACGGCAATGGCTCAGATTGAATCTGGGCCGATCTGACGGTCATGATCTCTTTTCGTATTTTAATTTTAACTTTTTTTTAATAAATCCAAATCATCTAAAATTTTAGGTGTATATTATTCTCATCAAGGTGCGCTTAATAAAAATACAAAAAAATTAATCCTAAAAAAAAAACGATCAAAATACCCCCGAAAATTTTCAGGGGTATTTTGGTCAATTTTTTCATGTAAAATATTTTTTTTATATTTTTTGAAGATTCACTTATTTCTTATGTACACACGCTCCAATTTCAGATCAATCCTATTTGTAGAAAAAAAAATTTAAAATTCAAACACTACTGGACATCCGGGATCGTCAGATCGGCCCAGATTCAATCTGGGCCATTGGCATTTTTGTATCAATATTCCCTTGGGCTGACAAGATCTTTTCCCTATATATATATGGAGAAACCTAAAAAACACCTATAGGCGATATTTTACAGTGTTTTGCCACCACCATGGACTTGCTATGCTCATGGCGGTTTATTGAATGGAGTCCGCCTAAATTTTTGACCGCTATGGACTTAGTATGTCTGTGACATTACCGCCATGAATATGTTAGGTCCATGGCGGTCGTTTTATCCACGCCGTTCGATTTTTTTAGACAATGCTGAGCCTATGGGTAAAAATACTGTTCATTTTTGCCCATAGGCGTTGCATAGTGGCTTCCTATATATATATATATATATATGGGAAAGGTTTCTATACTTCTCCTACAACATAGAAGATCTATATTTCCCTTACCATCCAACCGTCCAATTTTGATCAAGATAGCCACTCACCTTTTGATCTTAGATCCGACGTCTTAAAGTATTTTATTTTAGTTTTTTTTATACAAATTGTATGAATATGAAATTTGGAATGTGCCATATTCTCATTGGGGCACACCTATAAAAAATATTAAAAATATTTTTTCGATAAAATATAATGACAAAAATACCGCTTGAAATTTTCAGGGGTATTTCGGTGATTTTATTGTATTGGAAATATTGTTTTTATATTTTTTGCTAGTGCGAGTTTAATAGAGGATTGGATGTCGAAACTTTGGTATCAAAATACTATATAGAAAAAAAATTAAAAATAAAATAGTATAGAGACGTGACATTGTGATTGGGGCAATCTTAGCCTTCCATTCAGAATGGACGGTTGGATAAGGGGAAGTATATAAGTTTTATGTGGTAGGGGAAGCATAGAAAGCTTGCCCTATATGGATATACACATATAGGGTTATGTTAGGGCTCTCACACTGTAGAGCAACTTATAATTGTATTCAATAAATTTTGGACACCTATATATCTTTGTTTTGTACAAGGATCATATTTTTTTAATAAGGGTATTTTTGGTCAGTATAAGAGGTGTGACATCACCTACATGGAGTACACTATTCGCATTTAATGCACCATGTGGGTGAAGTCACACTCCATATAGATGATGTCATACCCCTCGTAATGACCAAAAGTACCTTTAAAAAAATTTTATGTACAAAACAAGAGTACATAAGTGTCCAAATTTTGTTGAGTATAATTATAAATTAGTCTATAGTGTGAGCACCCTAACTTAACCCGTATATACATAGGGATTGTCTACAAAAGAGACCATTTACCTTTTGTACAAGGCGATCACAACTATTCCCACTCATTAGATGTCAAATTGGATGGCTTGAGGTGAATCACGAAGTTCGAGAATTTTTTTTTTTGGAATTGTGTCTAATGAATGACACTCTTACAACCACACATTTTGAAATCCAAGGGACAAGAATGATTGTGACTTCTTTGTACAAAAATTCAACAGTCTCTTTGTAGACCTTTATATATATATATATATATATATATATATAAAACAAATATTTTTAAAAAAAAAAATGGCCAAAATACCCATGAAAAATGGCAGGAGTAATTTAGTCATTTTGCATTGTTGAAAATATTTTTTAATATTTTTATATGGTGCGTGATAATGTCAAGTATATATGTCCAAAATTTCATCTCAATCCAATTTATAGAAAGAAGATCAAAATTCAAATGGTGACATGTATTTTCAACCACCCTATGAAGATTTGACAGTTAGAATTCCACCTATATTACTATTCATTATAGGTGCCACCTTTTGGTATCTTTTTCCTGTATATATTAAAAATCGATCAAAACATGAATCAAGTTGTGCTTGCAAAATTTGAGGTCTTGAAAATCCTCTTACAATGGTGTTGGGGGCTTTGTTCAATGCTGTAGAAGTGGACTCCCCTGTCATAGATAGTTTTTCCAATTTATGATTGATTATTAATTGTTTCTAGGATCCATGATTCACAACGCACTTGTACGGGCAGTAGTATAATTTTTTATGCATATAATGGTGTTTATGATTTTGGACTCAGGGGCATTTTGGTGATTATGTATCCCGACATTGTTTCATTTTATAGCTTAAAGAAATCATTTTTATTACCAATTCTGAAATTAACTTTCAATTCTCAAAAAAAAATAAAAAAATCTGAAATTTACATTCTTCTATTGATACAGGAAGAAGAAACCCTGAAAGGCCAAGAGTTGGAAAATGCTTTATGTGATTCGAATTATCTCAAAGCAATTCGACTAGCCTTTGAAATGAGGAGACCTCACAAACTTCTCAGCTTATTTGAACAACTTTGCAGGTTGGTTTTTTCATTTATTCTCTCCTTTTTTGTCAATTTTTTTGAATCATATCTTATAAAGCGTTGGTACGCAGAAAGGAGGATGGTGGGGATCAGATAGAGAAAGCATTTCAGGGGCTTCGAAAGGAAGAATTTTGTGTGCTTCTTGAATATATTCGAGAATGGGATACAAAGCCAAAGTTCTGTCACATTGCCCATTTTGTTCTGTTTAGGGTTTTCAATATCCTTCCACCTACAGAAATTGTTGAGGTAAAATGCCCTAACTCTCCTCTTCATGGAATGTGACAATAATTCTTATTATATTTTCATGAAAGAATTTATATTGATAATATTGGTCAAAAAGTATAGTGCAATAGTTTATGGAAAATCATAGTGGATTGCCGTCATCAATATTTGAGAGCAGGACCTATCTTTGGGATCACCACTAGTGTCTCTCTCTCCATCACTGACCATCAATTTTGATGAGCCAAGTATACAATGGTTTTCCTTGGTCCTTGCACTAGTGTACTTTGCCTTTTCTTTTTTATCAGTACGCATGGAATTAAGCCCTGTAGCGTTGGTGGTTTGAGAATAAGAGCACCAAGGCACTAAGCTACCTGGTAGAACCCTGTGAACCAAGGTACAGGATAGAACCGTACACATAAGCAGTTGCTTCTAGGAGATGTTCTTTCTAATTTCTACAAACCAGGATATTATGATTGAGCTGAGAACATTGAAGAACCCGCCTGAAGAAAAGAGAAGAAGACAAAGAAGAATAACCCATTAGACATCAGAACCATACATATAATATCAGTTGCTTTTAGAGATGTTTGATTTTCCTTCTAATTTCTAGAACCTGATTAATATAATCCAATGTATTGCAGATGAAAGGCATTAGTGAACTCCTTGAAGGATTAATTCCATATTCCGAGAGACATTTTAGAAGGATGGACAGGTTTGCAAGAAGCACATTTTTATTGGACTATACTCTATCTCAAATGTTGGTTATTAGCCCAGAGGAAGAGATGGCTTTTCCGAAAAGAGAGATCCTCCCAAATCAACCTAGTAAAAATGATAGAGTTTTTGAGGAAGCAAAGGCATATGATGAGCAATCCAAGAATGATCAAGAAACGCTACAAAGTGCAGTTCAAGAAACTGTAGAAAATGGGTATCAAGAAAAGATAGACAATGGGACTGCAGACATAGATGAGCCGTTGCAAAATGACTCATCAAAAAAGCGGAAATCCAGGAAGCTGAGGGCAAAAGTGCTGGAGAAGAGAGCTAAGGTGGCATATGTGGAGGTTTCACATATTTCTTCCAAGGCTTAGCATATAAACAACAATTTCAAAGGCTTCCCATCTCTCTTTCTGGTTTCTAGGAAACAGAGTCAGATAGGGCATCAATTTTGTAGTAGTTTTGATCTCTGTGGATTGTAATCTGTATTTTGTAATTTTTTCAAGGGGTAAGAGCATCAATTTTGTAGTAGGTTTGGTCTTTTTAGACCATCAAGTCTGACCATTTGCTTATAAAAAATACTCTCTGCAAAATTGCCAAAGCACCGAGAGCAAAACATTATGGATTAATTTTTTTTAAAAGGAAATGTATATGATGAGACCATTTATTTTATTTTATTGTAAGGAAGGAACAATCATTAGATGTCAAATTGGTTGGTTGAGGATGTGCTATTGATTGGGCTTAAAATCTAAAATAAATTTTTTTTAATGATGTGAGCTATTTCAATTTATGGGATTTTTCATCCATTGGTTAAAAATGATTGTGATCTCTTTGTACTTTATGTTATGTAGATCAAACACGAGTGTTTGTTTATGACATGGATACAAATGTCGGAAATGTGAACTTCAAAAGATGACATCTAGAAACGACACGTTTGTGCAATATACAGGTGTTTACATGAAGGAAATTTGTTTCATGCGGGCTGGGCTGCATGACTACATATGCGGTCCAAAAAGTGTAAAGCTTAAAGAGGATGCAAGTAGGTGCTCCATAAAAAAAAACAAATGGAAACTAACGGTACAAATGTTTTCTTATTAGAATTGTTATTTATATTTTTAAAATTTACTTAATTTTTTATATTCATGATCTACATGTTAGTGATTACACGTCCTTAAAAATTAAGTCCAAAAATCCATCTCAAAAATATAAGTATTAATAGGCCCGTGTTTCTACATATGCGGGCTTGGCCATATAGAAACAAGTTCATAAATGCATATGTTTATTTATACGTTTGTTAAAATTTGTGTAGTTCACATATGCATTTATACATAAAACAATTCATGTTATACAATAATAATGAAGCATCTAAAAATAATAATAATAATAATTAAATTAATAAGTTAAAAAAAAATTACTTTATGAATCTGAATTTTATTTATTAAAATTTTTTATCAACAAATCCATAATTGCATAATAACAATATGGAAAAACCTATAAACTATTAACTAATTATTAATTCAAAATTAGCAATTAGTGACGCCAATGGCCTAGGGTGACTTATCTCTTGTAGAGGGTGGGTCACGTTAGCATTGACATTAAGACCTTTATTACGTGGCTATTGAAAAGAGTCGTAATGCACTTTTTTAAATTACAAATTTTTAAACTAGTTAAAGTTAATTGTTAGGATAGAGCGAGATACAATACAATTAATACTATTATAATTAATTATAGAGTAATGATTTTATGAGACTCTCTCATACCTATGTGTGTAGGACCCCAAATGATCACCATTAAATTTGACACAGATATCTAAAAAAGTCAAGTCTCACACCCATGTAATAACTTTTTTAGAGATTGTGCCAAATTTAATAGTGATTCTTTAAAGCCTTATACACATGGGTGTGGGAGGATCTCATAGGGTCATTACTTATAATTCTATTAATAACAAAAAAGATGGAACAATAAAGATCGTATGACAAATAGAAAAATTGCAGAAGAGATTAATATCCAGTGTTCCACAGCTTGAAAAGAAAGAAATTAATGCTCCAAGCTTGGAGAGGGAGAAACCGGTACACAGCTTGTAAAAGGGGAAATTAGTTGGGGAGAGAAAAACCCTATAAAGTTTCATAGTAGTTTAAATAAATTATTTTTTTATTTATAATAACACTAATTTATAGATACCTTAATTTAACAAATAAACTTACTATTATTTTTTTAAAATACTTGTTACTTTCAATACAAAAATACTCTTCAATAAAGAATGAAGTTTCTTAAAAAAAAAAAAATGCCACTTTAAAAAAAAACGTAGTACTAAAATCTAAAAAAAGAGACGTTAGTAGAAAAAAAAAAAAAAACGCTTCTAAAGTTTAAAAAATAAGACACGATAGTGGACACTTAATAGAGGTGTTGTATGCATGTTCAAGAGTGTTGACATGGATGTTTGTGTCCACCAAATGTCAGCACATGGTCCATCCTCAGGGCTCGCATCTCTATATTTCACAGCTTGTACCAAAAGTACCCGTTCTATAGTATGGAATCTGTTTTCTAAAACTATTATTTTTGCTTCAAGATAGAAAATTGGGAATATTTCAACCGAGTTTCTTTTGTTCATATCACGGTTCTATGCCTCTTATCTAAAACTAAATTTGGTTGGTTTTTTTAAATATTCATATATGTTGTGGCTCCCTTGACTGAACTACCCTGCTTTTGATTCTTACGCATGCCTCGGTCTGATCATCTGAGAGAGAGTCATACCAAAAATCAATTCAAGTGCTTATTGTCAAGAGAGAGAGAGAGATTAGGAGAGAGAGAGAGAGAGATCATACCAAATTCAATTCACGCGTTTATTGTCGTGAGAAAGATCACACTAAATTCAGTTTAGGTGCTTAATTAGTCACCCACCAGTTCCAGTTCGAACAGGCTGAGTAGAGACTTGACAAAATAATAGCAAGAAAAAAAAGTAAAATTTAAATCTTAGTTGTTTTTATGTAAGATGTAAAATTCTCAAATCACTCTTGAAAATGCACTAGAATGTAAAAATTTTAAAATTAGCCAAACTAAAACATAGTATATGGAATGCAAATTTAGTGATAATAGGCACAAAGGGAAAAAAAGAATTAAAATTGTCGTAAAGAAATACCACAAAGAACCATACTTTCAATATCTTGAGCCGATAAAGCAAGAAAATAGAAAGATTTAAAAAAATGTCGTACATAGAATTAGAGCTGGATAGACGAAGTGGAGATGTAAAACTAAAGTTTTATATGATCGCAACATACCAATGAAGTTGAAAGGGAAGTTTTATAGGACAATTGTGAAACTAGCTTTGCTTTCTAACTCTTGATTAAGAATCGCACGTGAGTTCCTCTTTGGTCCTCTATATTACTATATACTTTTGTTCAGCCAAATTGCTTTTTTAGATGCATAAGTAGATGACATATACTCAGCCTTTGCAGAAAACAAACCTACCAAACACTGTAACTTAGATAACCTGGTAACTTCGCTACCTCCCCAAGAAAAAATATACTCAGCAATAAACTTTTTTTTATCCAAGTCACCTAAAAAATCGGCATCACGACTAACATCTCACAAATTTATACCACCATAATAAATACCAGCAATACAATTTCCTTTCAGATCACGAATGATCAACTTCACGATGGTCCAATGATCAATGGCCACCATATTCACTATGTATCTGCTGATTTGCTCACATCCCCCATTGCTTGTGCTATATAGGGTATGGTGTTAATCATAGCAACACAATGCTCCCTATTATTATGAAAATGGTACTTCGAGATGTTTGTATCTTCTCTGTTTTAGTGCTAATATGCTGTTTAAAGACAGCTTCATATATACATTAAATGGTGTACCGATTGGTTTAAAAGTTTGCATATTGAAATGCCACATATCCTTTTCCACATACCTCATCTGAGTTCACCAGATTTTCCTTTTCTTCCTACCTCTAATTACACTCATCCCAAGAATTATTTACCACTCTCAAATTTTCATCTCAAATTCCCTAACCAACTGAGCTTAATAAGTTGCAATATTCTCTTTATTTGGTCATGCAATAATCATGTCATCGACATACAATAACAAAGTAATAAAACTCTCATCACCATAACCACAAAAAACAGGCACAATGTTTCGCACTATGAAGGAATCATATTTTTGTAACACCATCTAGATGCGTACCTGTTACAATCCATACAACGATTTCTTTAGCCTACAAACCAAATTTTCCATATAATCCTTAACAAAATCATCAAATTGGGTCATAAAAATTTCTTCTTTTAAGTCACCAATTGAGAAAGCAGTTACATATTTAATTGTTCTAATTCTAAATTGAGAACATAGACCATAGCTAAAACAACTGTAATAGTGGTCATGAATACAAAAAGAAAGAATTTCATCAAAATTCATACATGACTTTTAAGCATAACCCTTCACAAACATTTGTGATGTGCATCTTTTCTTTTTGAAGACCCACCTACAATCAACTGTCTTTTGCCCCCTAATGATTTGCAAGTCCTATGTTTTATTTTCCACTAGGAACTTCATCTCCTCTTCATGGATGCTCTCTATTGATCGGCTTCATCAACTTTACATGCTTCATGATAAGAAATTGGCTCACCCTTTCTCTATTAGGCAAACATAAGACGAGAAATTGTCGTTAAGCCTAATAAAGCACATTTAGGTATTTCAAATCTTCTCAATTAAACGCCACTTAGATATTCTTCTAACACTTAGACAATTTCAGATTCTTGGTCTTTTCCGTCATCTTGCATGTTCTCATGGGTGTATTCCATACCAACAAGTTTTGCATATTCTTCTAACACTTGGAAAATTCCTCTTTATTAACCTTTTCTTGTCTCTTTTCTCTTATCTTTCAAAGCCGCTGCACAGTCGTCCTTCACCGACATAGCTTGCATTTTCAACTTTGAGATTGAGAAATCTAAACCATCAAATTTATGATTTCATATTTGGTTGAACTTCCTCCAGCCAGCTTACAGATCTTCAATCTACTACAAACCATGTGCCTAACAAGGATCTCAAACACTACGGCTCTAATACCAATTGTAGAGGATACAAATAAGGGTTGGACAAAAATAAAAAGAAAAAAAAAAATTGCGCTGCAAATTAAAAGAGCAAACACAGAAATTTGCATGATTCAACGATTGCCTACGTTCACAAGCCAGCAAACTTCTCTTCCTCTAATCAAGAAATATCATGCAAAAACAGAGAATGTAAGGATTTTCAAGCTCTCTATCACAATATGATTCCCCTCTAGAATACACACCCAAAAGGCTCCAAAATCTCACCGTTTTTCTATCTCCATTTTTCACATATATAATTTTTCTCTGTAACTACTTTTATATAGAAAGACCCAAGAGGAACCCATGAGTCACTCTTTATTTCCTCTTAGGTGCTAGAAAGTTTATCTCTTGTACTCCCTCTTAACTATCCCAAACGCAAGGATTCTCACCATAAAAGTAGGAAATCTTCTATTATGAATATTTGTCTTCCTAAGAATCAGGTATCCATGGTACATGTATTCACCGACTACAAACTTGTTCCAGGTTGACCTAACAATTTTTTGAACCAGGGCTGACATGGACACTCCAGGGTCAAACAATTCCCATCTTCAACGTAAAGATCACTTCGATCAAAAACAGTTCCCGCCTTTTCTTTCACTAGGAGGTGAAATTTGCACCATCCATTCTATCTGCAGCCAAACCTGGTATGTTGCTTCTGCCCTCCTATGGCAACATGGGCAATGCGGATCAACTGAATCAGTCATCTAACAAATAAATTTTAAAAAATGAAAAAAACAAAAAGGCTACATAGAGCCATATTCGCCATATAGTATATGTTTGTTTGGTGATTTAAATCAACCAAAATATGGCATAACTGGATATAATGCTAATTAGAAACAATGGGGCCAATTCCCAGGAAGTAATCGGCCCAGTAACCTTTGATCTCAGTTTGGATTGGTGATTTTCTGACTTTTTGATATGTATTAAGGGTAAAAGAACTCTAATTCTCATGGAAAACTCTAGTCATAAGGGTCATCACTACCACCCATTCAAGAGTCAGATGATGATGGGGGAGTGAATGGGATCCACTATATTCTCGACAAGTCCTCTTTCTCCCATCATTGTCCAACCACTTATTGGAGAGTGATGACCTTTACAACTAGGGATTCCCACAAGAGGATTATGTTACCCATGTATTAAAAAGTTAGTGTCCATGTGTCTGCATGCATGTTAGTGTGTGTGTGTGTGAGAGGGAGAGCACAACTGAGATCAAAGACAAATGGCTCTGCATTTCCAACAAAGTATAATGTACTATCCACATGCTTGTTCCTCTTTTTATACGCATAACAAAGATATCACAAACAACTTTTTGACCTTCAGACTTACACCACTGTCTCAAGACTCAAGACATCGTCCAAGGATCCTGAAGAAACTAGTAAACCCGTTAGCATGGGGGGAACAGTTTTCTCAACCTATAGTAGCACGCAAATAAGATAATACATAACAAGAACAACCCAATCACAATTTTGTCTCAAACAAAGCCAGAAAATCATATTTCGAGCTTTAAAAGTTCATCGGTGCACTCACTCTTCACTTGGCCCCACCAAACATGGTCATGAGCTTGGCAATGATGGGAGCCATCTTGGGGTTATTTTGGTGCTTCGCAATGTTAGCAGGGTTCTTCATCACTGCATCAACCAACATGCATCATATCATTTCAAGGCTCAAACAGGAAAAAAAAAAAAGTTGAAATCCAAGGAAAGCGCTTGAAAACAAAGGAAGTATGAAGATGAACCATACAAAATCTAGCCCCCTCATACATCTATACAAACTATATATATATACATACATATGCATGGGTATGTGTGTAAATAACGGCTTTTAGTACTGGGGAAACTTTCTATGTAGTGCCTTACATACGGAAAAAATGTGCCGGTGCTTCCCAGCTGTCCAATCTAAATGGATGGCTGAGATATCACCACCCCAAAAGTCACAAAACAAAGACAAACCTGGCAACCGGCTGAGAGCTGGTCTCCCTTCTGTTGCTCATCTCTCTCTCTCTCTAGAAATAAGAAGACAAAGAAAGAAGCTGCCCAAACAACTCTCTCTCTTTCTCTAAAACCGAATCAACCCTAACCCTCTCTTTCTCTCACTCTTCTCTTTCTGAGAATAAGGAAGAGGAAGATATAAGAACAGCCACCAACAAATTTGGGTAAAATCAGGCCATTCAGCCTAAAATGCTCAAGTTTGGCTCGCAAAGTAACCTAAGAGTGACATTTGTCAGTGTTCTTAGATAAATAAGATCAAGAATGAACTGGCGCAGAAGCCCGCAAGTGATTGTATTCTAAAGTTGTAAGTTTAGAGAGAGAGGGGGGAGTGGGGTTTGAATGAGATCGATGTGGCAGTCGGGGCTGAGGCAGGAGTAGGGCGAGAGTTGTGGGTGTGCTGAATTGGTGTTTATCTCTTTTCTTGACATTGCAACTGGAGATATCCCAGTGGTCCATTTAGATTGGGCGGCTGGGAAGCACCAGCGATATTTTTTCTATGTAGGCACAGCGACATAGGAAGTTTCCTCTTTAGTATTTACAAACAGAAATATCTAATGGCCCATCAAAATACATAAGTATATGCACGTTTACATATTGTATATACATATACACACATAACCAATCCCAAATAATTGGAATAAGGCTTGGATGATGATGATGATATACATACACACTTATACACTCTCATTCGTCAATCATAAATGTTTATGTTCTTTCTTACTAGTTTTGAAAATTTATTTTATAAATTTAATCATCAAGCTCGCTGTTTTGGGAGAGCTTATGCAGGACAGTAGCATATGGAAATTTTTGGAAGAACTCGCCCTGATTCCTTTCTTTTCACAAACAGGAACGTACATATGAAATTTATTAAGAAAAAGAAACAGCAAATTTGATTAGTCAAAAAAGTTATACAACAAGCATGTAAACCTTCTTGTATTCTTTAGAATCGCATACTCGCTCATAGAAAATTCCACAGCTTTGGGAAGCCAAGCCACAAAATATAGAAAGATCTTAAAGTTTCACATCCAATATCTGTTTACTTATCCAAGAGAAAAGAACAATGAATAACGAGTAATTTCAGAGTTCAGTTAGAGCTCCTGTTCATGGACTTCTTTTTCATTTCCTTTCGAAGAAAATGACACCAGCCATATCTGAATGGAGGAGAAAATGTCATAAAGTCAAAAAACAAATATAAAATGCATATAAGCTTCTAGACATTTTTATGGGCTCCCTTGGTAGCTTCAGAATAATTTTTCATGGCTTCCAAAGAGGTCAAACAATCAAAGAAGGCCACAAGCCACTACTACATGATTCAAAAGATCATTTGCCATATAAGCATGCTCTTGGGACCATGGGATCAAATATGTACAGAGAGAATTTCATTACTGTCTTTGGCAGACCCTTGACCGTGATTAATATATATATATATATATATATATATATATAACCATGATTTAAATATTATTGTTATCAAACAATTTTATCCCCTAACTTCTTCCACAATGTCCAAACTTAATGTCATTCAAGGTTATGCTAGTCACAACCGTTTTTGTTTGCTTGAGTTGTTATTTGAAGATTTATTTCAACAATTGAAATTTCCGTGATTCGAACCCAAATTCTATAAAAGCTCAAGAAGGCTCTGAAGTAAATGCAGCATTCAATGGATCACAAATCTTCATGATGCATGTTTAATGCCCAGCTACTAATGAGGATGAATCCATCAACATCCCATGATTAGTTAACGGAGATTTCCTGTTCCTTGGATACTAGGGGAAAATTTCTGGAAATTTAAAAATTCATTTGAACTTCTAAATAATGAATTTTAATATTTATAGTGGTATACAGATTGGCCAATAAGGATGCATATGAAAACTGTATCCCATTTCTCTACAGATTTCATGATTCACAACTCACTGTTCTCATCATCATTATCCGAGCCTTATCCCAACTACTTGGGGATGGCTACACAAATCCTCTTCTGCCGTTCCATTCTATCAAGGGGCATACCCTCAGTCAGACCATAAATCACCATATCTTTTCTCACTACTTCCATCCAAATCTTTTTAGGCCTTCTCCTTGCATTTTTAGAACCTTCCTCTCAAACTCAATCATCCCTCTTAAATAGTGTCGTTCTAGGACGACGATGCACATGGTCAAACCACCTAAGCCTACTTTCTTTTATTTTTATCGCATATTAGAGCTACCCCTGAATTCCGCAAATGTATTCATTCCGAATTCTATCATTCCTTGTCCTACCACTCATTCTGTCCCATAAAGCATAGTCTTACAGCCGTCTTGTTGAACTTCATCTTCAGTTTCATCGTATGCAATAATCACATAGGACTCCAAAATCACATCTTCACTTCGTCCACCAGCTCTAATTCCATGATCAACATCCTCCTCAATCTCTCCTTTCTCATGGATTATCTACCCAAGATATCAAAAATAATATCTTTTAAGTACTTCTTGGCCATCAAACTTAAATAATTCCTCATTTCTACTCCTATTATTATTAACTTGCATTAAATATATTATGTCGTAATATGACTAAAGCATCCTTCTAACTTTGTGTTTATACTGTCTCTAGTCTCATCAACCCAAACTGTGCCATCCTTAAATAATATACACCACAAGTGACAGGACCTCATCGTTTACATGCCTAGCTAACTCATCCATAACCAAGCAAAGAGATATGGCCTACTGTCATTGAAAATTTACTTGTCTCTCCACTAAGTTGTCTTTACATTAGTTAGCGCTCCCTCGTATATATCCCTAACCATGTCAATATGTCCTCTTGAGACTTATTTCTTATCCAGCAACCGCCAAATTATTTCTCTAGGTACCATATCGTGTGCTTTCTCTAAATCAATAAAGACCATGCTGAAGTCTTCTCTTTTCTCTCTATATTTCTCAATCAATTTCTTAAGTAGGAAAATAGCCTCAATGGTTGACCTCCCAGGCATAAATCCGAATCGATTTTCTGATACACATGTTTCATGTCTTATTCGTTGGTCCATCAGTCTCTCCTATAGTTTCACAGTGTGCCTCATAACTTTGATCCCTTAATAATTTGTACAACTCCGTATGTCTCATTTGTTCTTGTAAATAGGTCGCACAACACTCTTCTTCGATTCATCTGACATTTTCTTTATTCTCAAAATCTTGTTGAACAGCTTGGTCACCCAGAATATGTCAATCTCTCCCATGCACTTGTTGAACAGCTTCGTCATCCTTCACCAACACCCTCTGATCCTCACTCTTAATGCATTTAACATGATATAGATCCCTATGTTTCCTCTCTTATTTTTGCTAGTTTGAATACATCTTTTTCAACTTCTCTTGTACCCAATTTATTGTAGAAATCATTATATGCCTTAAGCTTACCGTACCATTTGCTTAACGTTCCTTTTGGCATTTCCATATTCTTTTAAACTCTGATCATTTATATTCCCTAGCCAAGCTTTGTAAAATGATTGTTTTCAACTATTAGCCATTTGAACCTTATCATTTCATTCCATCACCAAGTTTCCTTATCTAAAAGTCTTCTGCCTCTAGATTCTCCTAAAATTTCTTTTGCACTTTCTTAATACAATCAGCCATTACATTCACATAACGTAAACTTCATCATCAGAATTCCATTTTCCTTCGTTCATCAATTTATTTCTAAATAAGTCTATTTTCTCCCTTTCTAAGTTTAACCACCTAGTTCTTAGACACCCATTAATGTCACTCTTCTTCCATCTATTAATGCAAACATCCATAACCATGAGCTTCTATTGCATGGTCAAACTCTCTCCTTGGATAACCTTACAGTCTTTAAATGATGATCGTTGTATCTTTTTAACATAAAAAAGTCCATCAAGCTTTATATGATACACTTTTGTAAATTATTAAATGTTCATCTTGCTTTTACAGTAAGTGTTTGATATTGTTAAATCGTAAACCATAGCAAAATCAAGAATAGCATCACCCATCTCACTTCTTTCTCCAAATCCGTATCCTCTATATACTCTTTCATATCCTCGACTATCTTTTCTCAGTCCCCTCCTAAAAATGTCCTCTCCATTTGGTATTCCTTGGGCTAGTCCATCCATATACTCCTAGAATGGTCTTTCAATTTCATCCTCTAATCTTACTTGTGGGTAAAACATTAATTACATTAATTATCTCACTTAACACAAGTTTAAATTAATAAGAGCTGTTTTAATTAATGAGAGCCTTCATGATTCACATTCATTTCAAACAAACTGTGTAATGTCAGAAATAAACTATAACGAAAACTTTTATCAAGAAATATTTTTTTTAACATAACAACTCTAACAGGTCTGAATGAATTCGTGTTCTGGTCCCGGCGGAAAATCTGCCTACCAATATACACGGGTCTCATCATCTCCCAGGAGCAGAGTTAGTTCGAATATTCATCCAGGGGGCAGAAGCGAGGCAAGGACCTTAACTGCTAAGAACAGCCGAGCGGGGAAATGAAGAGAATGGAAAAAACCTCACTTTAACGCAGCGACAATCAAATTACAAGCAACTAAAGGACACAAATCCAGAAAGACAGGAAGAAATCTATGAATTCAATAATCGTTAATTGACCCAGGAGTTGTTCCCGGGCAGAAGCGAAGCAAGGACCTTAACTGCTAAGAACAGCCAAGTGGGGAAATGAAGAGAATGGAAAAAACGTCACTTTAACGCAGCGACAATCAAATTACAAGCAACTAAAGGACATGCAAATCCGGAAAGACAGGAGGAAATCTATCAATTCAATATTCGTTAATTGACCCAGGAGTTGTTCCCGAGCATCCTCAATTAGGTTATTAGACACCCCAATTGTACCTGAGCGTCTTGAAGGGATTAGATTGCTCCGGCCTAGTCGAAGTGGGAGTACTTTCCCTACCAACTGCCCACCTCTTAGCAACCCAAGCATAGAACGAGGGATTTGCCCAGGCTGAGTGACAGCTGAGTGCATTGAGCCAAGCCGAGTCCCAAACTCTTTGTTCTCACCCCGAGTTCTGCAGTTGCAGATGCACCGGGCCGGTAGGGGCAGTCACTCCTGGAGTGTGAGGTAGGAGACTTGGATGAAAGCTATTCCCTTCGTTCTTTCATCTGCTCTTCTCCCTCATTTCGTCCTTCCATTGGAGTCCTTGTATTTTTAAAGACCCAAATCCACATGTCTCTGAAATTAACAACTAAGATCTTGTAAAATCTATACCGATATCTAGCATTACCATAAGTTGTCTCTTAAAGCACCACCTAGAACTTCACAACAGTCAAGTGCCATATCCAATACTACTGATTTTTTAGTTATGCTCAAACACTGATCTCCACAGAGGGTGGTCACAAATGCGCAAATGAGGATTTGTTTTCTTTAAAATGGAAAGATGGAACAAAAAATATAAGGATTAGACAATTTGATTGATTTATGTGATATGCAGACGAATGATTTTAGAACTAATTTATATGGATAAAGTGCATCACTTCTTTCTCTTAAAAAAGGGAATTCAATATTCCAAGGTTCAGGTCTAGAATTCGAGGAGACTGACAACAAGACGATTGGTCAACTTTCAGATTTCTAAATGGAAGAAAGGTAGACACCACAATAAAAAAATCATAACATTGACTAATAATTGAACACCGATTGATATACACAAATAAATATATTAGCCATAACTCAAACACAAGGGTCCACATAAACTATCTGTAGATGTCATCATGAAATTCACAATTCTCTACTTCAGAACATGAGTTTAATTCCTAGTAAATTACGAGCAGTCTCCGTTAGTAATCAATAAAGGAAAAACATAACCATATTCTAAACAACAATTAACATCTTAATAAAAAATTTGAGAAACGAAAAATAAAAGAGGCATCCAAATCTAGGCATGAAAATGTGGCCAACACCGAAACACTAGAATGCATTATTATGATACACAGGATTAAAGGCAGAGAGAGGAATCAGAGTTACCATCAAGGATCTCTGCCATAATTTGTGGGTCTTTGAAAGCAGCCATCAACTCTGGGTCCTGCATCCATTTAGGAGCAATAAGCCCTCCTCACTCAAAAGTTTGCTGTAAGGTACAAAATCATGAGGAGGGAGAAAAGGGGGGGGGAGGGGGGGGGGATAAACCAGTTTCTAAGGACTAGGACAACAAGGAGAAGAACTTAGAATTAAGTATGACAATGTGAAACATCAACATGACAACATCTTCAACTTACACTGAAGATCTTGCCCATATCAATATTTCCAGGTATACCCCCAGGTGCACTGCCAGGAGAACCTCCAGGCATACCACCAGGAAAACCGCCAGGCATAGAACCTGGCATACCAGCAGGCATGCCCCCAGATGATCTACCAGCCGTTGAATGTTCTTGCCTTTTAGCACTTTCGTATTCAGCCTGCCAAAAATATATACAGAAATAAATAAATAGTATATTGCCAAATAATGACAATATGCAAAACAATTACAATGACTCTCTCTCTCTCTAGCTAAGAACAATAATCCACCAATTGTTAATCACCTGAGCTTCAGCTTTGTGGCGTTGTCTCTCCCTCGCAATCCTTTTCTCTTCTCTCTCTTTGCGCAGGCGCTCATATTTTCTGTTGTGTTCTTCGATTTTGCGTGCATTGGGTTCAACCTGCATCCCTCCGTGAAAGGCTAGTTGGAAATTTAAATCATAAAATTTAGTCATCATGGATCCAAATAGGGGAGAAAGTAGAAAACCTTTTTAAGAACAGAAGCAATCTCCTCGTCAAAATCTATTTTTGATGCTACATGAAGATCTTTGGCAGCATCTTCCCACTGGCCAAGTAAAGCCCTTGCCATGCCACGAGATTTATAGCCTTTTGCAGAATCAGGATTAATCTAAGACAACAATAATTTCAACATATTAGCATATGAAGAGTAACCAGAGGAAAATGCATTCAACCATCAAGTGCATCATATGTATGATACATAACTATGGTGCCATATGGATATTTAAACAAGAAACAAGAACATGGATTCATGATACACGTCTTCTATTTGACAAGTGGGCACATGTACATCGATGTATATATGTATGTGTAATGAACATAAAAGGATAATGGATGATAATAAAACATGGGTCTTGTCCATGGTGATCATGGAAGTGAAAGAATACGTGATATTTACTAGAGAATTGAAATGGCTATAGATGAAGAAAGGAGTGGGCAGCAGACCTCCAAAGCTGCATTAGCATCTTGAATGGCAGCATTTGGTTTTTTCATCTTTACAAACACACTGGCTGTATAGAGCATAATATCATTTTGTTAGAATTCAGACTACGTGAACACAACTCTCAAGAACCATCTAAATTGTATGTTAATCATGGAAGCCATCAGGATTCACCTCTTGTTGCATACATGATTGCCGATGTTGGGTTGCACAAGATAGCCTCTGTGAGATGGTCAATAGCCTCTTCGAATTTGCCTGAAACAATAGACGTATGTGTCATAAATACATGGAACTAAAGAAACATCCAATGGATCCTCATCAACCTGGGACCAACCATCAGGGAAATGTCCAGGTTTGGTATGCCACACTCTCCATCGCCGTCCATCATTCAGTAGATGGTGATTGCCAATGGACTATGGCTACTTTCCCATGGAACTGAAGAGAACCCAAATAACCAACAATTCCTTCCTTTACAGTCCAAATTTACCTTCTGAAATTCCCTCCATGGCTTTCGCTTTGGCCATTTGAGCAGCATCACGATTTTCATCCGTAACCTCAACAGTTGGATCTCCCATCTAGATACATAAAGATATTAAAAAGACACAATAAGACAATGCAATCAAATTTATCACATGCTTTTGCACTCAGATCCTCACAAATGAAACTTTTTCAGATTGAATGACTGCTGCGGAAACTCATTATATTTGCCTTTTGAGGGGGCTCATTGTCAGCCTCGACAATATCATCATCAAACTCGATATCAGACTCAGAGATATCACTGTCGAAATAATCCTCTGTGATATTATTAGTTGACTGAGCATCAGTTTCCTCCTTAATGTCCGACATATCATCATCACTCTCATCGTACAGTTGGGTTTTCTGTAAAGAATTGAGGTCAATCAACTAATTGATACATAACAATATGCAGTTCCTGTTTATTGGTAGGGGAGATAGAAAAACTGTTTATCAGGTTAAAATAACATATTACTGGATTATCAAGTCAATGTGTGTTCATTTTTCATCTAAGCAATCCAAAACTCCAGATAAAGCAAGAGACTAACCAACTGTTTTAACAAGAAAATTATCATGAGCTCTTAATGCAAACCAACTTCACAATAGGAAAGTACCTATTTTGCCCAGAAAGATAACTTGGTTGCTTAGCTGGGAAATGGCTCAGAACTCAAAGATAATAAAATTCAAGGGAGCGAGATAAATGATGCACTCTCCGGAGCTTCATGTGTAAGCTAATGTTCAAAGCACTTTTGCAGGGCAATGTCATCTCAAATGGGGAGAGGAAGAAATTTTACAAAGGGCCGGAAGGATGGGTACACGACAGAGCAAGAATAAAATTTTGAACTTTAGAGGCCATAAGATACTTTATAATTGGAGATTAGATATAATTAGAGCAACCATCTAAGGTGGTTATGTTTTCTATGCTGGTTATGAGCAATAAGATTCCTGTGCAGGAAGTCCTCCATAGTATCTTTGGTTTGAATCTGAAACTAAGTAAAAATGCTCTGTATGCAGTATGTACTGTGCAGAGCAAAGATGCAAAGAGGAAACTCAATTGAGACTTATTACTCTATTGCCCCCCCAAAAAAAAAAACGGGGTTAAGACAGCTAGAACCCCTTAAAAATAGAGATTTCCCATTTAAAAAAGGGCTTCTCTTCTAGTGGTATCTATAGTATTTCCAGAATATCGATACCATATTACGTAGAACACAGTCGACGACTCCTGCGAGATTTTGAAGGGTTATTGAGTCAATTTTGCACCATACTACTTCTATCAATACCACGTGAACTAACCATATTCAGATGAATTTTGAAAAAAACCTATCAGTGGTCCTCTATCTACCAAAACTCTAGAAGTCAGCTTCTTTCAACCACCACTATTTACAGATAGTAAACATATCATAGTCTGATACATGAAGTCCATTTTCCCTACCTTCCTTGTTAGTACCTAGTAGTAATGGTAGTCCAATTCCATGGCCATAAGATCATGAAACAGTCCTATTCCGCTTCAATTCGTGTTTTTTCTTTTGTTTGTTATCCCAAACTTCTAAATGAGTAATATAACTCTAAAGAACAAAGCAACTCAAGTTCCACCAAATCCCATGCTCTAAAGAAACTTGAAACCACCAGCTTCATACTATATATTCGAGACAAATTCTTAGTAAAAGTAAACCGTTGCTCCAAAGACCCAACCAATCAAAAAAATGCTAAATAAACCATAAAACTACGGAAACAGAGTATTAAAGGGAGTGTCTGCCATATATACAATGGAAAATTTCATTTAAATCAACACGATCATGACCCAATATTGATGATGATGATGATGATAATAATAATAATAATAGTACTAGTAATAATAATAATAATAATAATAATAATAATAATAATAATAATAATAATAATAATAACAATAGAAATAGAAATAATAATAATAATCATAATAATACGAAATGAAAGATAAATTAGAAAACAGGTAAAACAGAGTGTTAAGGAAAAAAAAGACGCACTGGAGATTTGGGTTTCTCATGTGGCGCATAGGCTGAAGCAGGAAGCTTCGCTCCAAGGCTGCAATGGACAATAACAATAAAAAGAACGAAAACCCAAATTTTCTCAGAAGATTATGAGGCCTTTCAGAACATTGAAAGTAGAATCAAGAACCCAAGAAGAATGAAAAAGGAAGAAATTTGTAATAAAATTTGAACGAGAGGGAAAATGAAGAGAGAGGAGGAACCTTTCCAAGTAGTCTTTAAAGAAGGATATCGAAGGGTCGCTTAAAATTGATGGGTTGGTTTCACACTGCTCTATGAACAGTTTCAGCTGCTTTATCTTTTCTGCATCCATTCTTCTCAGACCACTTCACAAAAACACAACTCTCCCTCCGACCACTTAACAAAAACCACAACACTCTCTCTCTCTCTCTCTCTCTCTACAACAACAACTCTCTCTCTACTGTGGCAACCAGAAGGTGTCTCCCTGTTGCACTCTTTTCTTCCCGGGGCAATGACCAAAACGCCCTCGCCTATTATGGAAAATATGTAGTTGGGATATGTCAAAAGATTTCCTACTTCTTGGACAGTATACTATCTATTTACTCCCGCGGACAAAATAAATAAATATAAGATATCTTTTGGATCTCAAATTCTGTAGATGTAATCTCTACCTATATACTCACTTAAATAAAAAAATTTTGAAATAAACTCTCTATGAACTAGAAAAAAAAAAGCCTCAAGAATGAATAGAGATCGTCGAATATATATTTAAGGTCGATGTGAGTGTTAAAAAAATAAAACAAAACAAATTTCAATTTTTAAAAAAATTATTCATCCAATAATTCTGATGTGGTTATCCGAATCTTATACCGGACAAATCTTCTTAAGTAGGTGTTTCGAGAAAAGGTGTAGATAAATAGTAGACGCCTCCAGGAGCATACTACATGAGGCCGTGAAAAATTAATGGAAAAATGCAGAGAGACAATAGGAAGGTATTCTACTTAATACAAAGATACAAATGATGGATGTTTCTGGAACTCCGGGAGAAAGCATCAACAAAATTAAGCCAAAAGATGTTATATTCCTTCAGGAGTATTAAAACCCTACCTAGGATTAATTTTAAGAGTATTTGGGGATACAGCCACATCAATAAAATAAATTTCTAGCAGTACCTTCTACACACTTAAGAAAACATTGTCTCAAATTTGAATAGAAACCTCCAATGCTTAGAGGGGGAGATAAAAACCCAAATTTCAAAAAAAAAATTGGAAAGGTATACAATGAGTCTATTTACTTTTGATATAATTAATTTTGACCATTAGATGTGAAATTGGGTGGTTACATTTATTCCATTGACCAAATTCAAAATTCAAAAAAAAAATTTCAGAGTTTCTGAAACACCTGAGCTATTAAATTTCACATCGAATGTGTTATAAATAATTGTGACCTTTGTATACCAAATGTAAATGGTCTTGTTGTATACAAATATTTTTTTTTTTCTTTTGAGAATAATTATCTAGTGATTCTCAAAATTTTAAATTAAAAAAATCCTCTTAAATAGGTATTGTAACCGAGGAAATTAATATAAACTATGCTCCTGATGTGTATGTTTTACTTGCCCAATGATATAAAACGGTCAAACATCTAGTGTGGGGTTATAGGGAAAAGAAAGGTAAATGCTCTCATTGTATATAATTTTTTTTATTTTGAAAATAATCTTAATTGATTTTCAAAATTTTAAATTGAAAAAATCCTCTCATATACGTCTTGTAACCGAAATTAACGTAAATTATGCTCCGGGTGTATGGTATATGTGTCCAAAGATATATGACGGTCAAACCTCTAGGGACGGGTTAAGGAAGGCAAGTAGTAATTATGCCTCTTAGTTTTCCTTTTCACGTGAGGTTTGTATATTTTTACCATAGAAGTACCTCAAAACTATTCCCAATTTTAAAGCTCTAAAAATGTGCGGAATTACAAGTTTTGAAAGTGGGCAGTTGAAATAGTTTGTTTTAAGATGCACTATTTTTAAAAAAAAAAAATTTTTTGTTTTATATATATAGATGAATAATTTAAAATGAACAAATATTTTTCAATTAGTTTTTGAGACGAGTCTTACCCCAAGTGTATAAATGGCAAGGAAGCTATGACAAAGGCATGATTTTGACTGACGTGAGTTTTAAGCAAACATGAAGACAAATGATCACCTTTTTTACATATTTTGTTCTTCAATGTAAAAATTGCCATGTTTAATATCTAATGTGAATATTGCAACCTTAGCTTGGGTTCTGAAAATTGCACCCACTCCGTCGCATATTCTCTCACCAACTCGTCTTTTTAAAGTTTTTTTTTATAATACAATTTCTTGGCAATGCCTTAAAAAAAGGAAAATATCAAAAATTGCCCGATCTTCCTACAAAAAATACTTTTTAAAAAAATATAGAGAAAAAATATTTTAAAAGAGCTGATAATTTAACCCCACTTATCTAGGTCTAGTGAAATGATAAAAATACCTTGGTTGTTTGGATTTAGCAACATTGAATATCTATTTATATTTAAGAAGGTGAGTCGTGTCTCTTGGTCAAAAAATAAAAATAAAGAAGCGAGCCTTGCGGCTGATATTGAACAACTTAGGGTATTTTTGTTATGGGTGAGAATTGTATAAGGTGTACACTTTATATTGTACAAGTAAAGTGCACTTCTAAATTTTATTAGAACATGTAGTTCTGATATTAAAAACCTTATGATGACTTAAAAATTCATGTTTAACCCTATTTATGATATTTAAAATTTTAAAAATAGAGCAAATCATGCATATCTATAAATACGTAAAAATTTTGAAAAAAAGTGTTCAGATAATATATTACAAGATGCACTATTTTTAATATTTGAAATTTTTTTTTCTTTATATCAATATATCTCAAGGTTTAGATGGTCAATTGAAAGGTCTTTCACCATCAAAAACGCTCTTTCTATTGGATTTTTTAGGTGCATCTTACTTCCATAGGATAAGGTTGCAATCTTGTATAAACCTTTTGCGTTTGTTATATAGCATTTTTACGTTGCTAGTCATGAATAACAGTGTCATTACCATTATTTGACTGTGGTCACTTTTGTAGGGCTAAAGTTATAAAAATATCTGTCCTTTTTCGGGTTCCTAATCGTGTGGAACAAATTCAAACCATTTGGTTAGATCGAAACAGGCCATTTGGTTAGATCGAAACAGGCCATTTGGCCGGTTCTGGTTTCAGCCGGTCCTGGTGAACGAGTATTTTTAAGAAATTCAAAAACATATATAAAATCTCAAAATTAAGGGATTTTGTTGGTAATGTATTTTTTATTGTTTTTTATCTTTCTGACAAATATTGGAAATTGTTATGGCCATTAATACTTCTTTTTACATTTTTCCATTTGTTTTGAAATTTTTTAAAAATACCTTTAAGCACAAATCGAATCTTTAAAATTTAATTTTTTATTAATTTTCAACTTCATTTGAATGTGTTTTGTTTAATCATACTTTAAATATATTTTTTATATTCTATTAGATTTTTTTGTATTTTTTTATCACTCTTTTTATTGCATGGACTTGCCTGGTTAGGCCAGTTTACGAGTTAGGCTGGTTGAACCGCTTCCAACCCCATATCTGGCTAACCGTTCCGATTCGATTTTTTCTAAACTGTTCCTAATACAAACAGGGCAATTTAATCATTTTTTATAATATTTTTTTAAGGAGGTAATAAAGTGAAATTAAAAAACCAACACTTCTAATGTTAAAAAGACGAAGTAAAAAAAATCACATATTTATGGATGGCAAAAACTATAGTTACAACTTCCCATTACGAGGATACAATATTATACGATATCACTTAATAGCACTTGATGTCAAGTTTGATATTTTTTTATTCCCTAAATTCTCATTAAATAAACGACATGGTATGATTCCTCATGACCTAAAACACACATTGATTTTAGGGACTATGCAGTAAAACAACAACAATAATGTCAAAAATAATACTTTCATTAACGAATAACAAGAACAACAGCATGATATATAGGATTGTAGTTATAAAAAAAAATGAACATCAACATGGAATCGAAGTTAATAAGAAACTCAAAATTAAAAAATATGAAACGATAATCTATCCAAATTGTTGTAGTATGTACACCGGTGCAATAAGGTTTTTCAATGGGTTCCTACACATTAATTACCATGACTTTTAAGGATAATGTACAAAATAAAAGGAAGATAATAATAACAACTGCAACAATAATAATAATAATAATAATAAATATTTAAGGATTTTAACAAAACTTGAAGTCAAACTCACTTCAAATTCACCAAAAAGAGAGACAGAGAGAGAGAGGTGGGGAGGAAAAATAATGCCAACCCACATCCACTTTTGCCAGACATTGAAGAAGAGAACTGCAATATGTTCCCTTCAAGCAAATTCAAATATAAGATGAAACTTTGCACAAAAAAATAAAACATGTACATCAATAATTAACACGGCATCCTTTATCTCCAGCTATGATATGATTTGGTACTCTTATAAGGAGCTTCACCAAAGCCTTGTAATCTTTTATACATGCTAAATATTGCAAGATAAGACGAGTAGCCAAGGAAACCTCATTACAATCACACAATAGGGCTTTGAACCTTCATATTAGATGTAAAGTTCCATTAGAAAAATTAAAATAATACAGCTTGAAATTAAAATAATACAACTTGAGATTAGCAACTAAAGGGCATATATGCAAGGATTACATAAAACATCACAAATTAATTACTAAAAAATATACATCTATACATTGCATATTGACTAATAAATAAATAAAGGGAAAGTATAGAATGAAACGATTCATCTTTGGTACAAGGTGGTCACATTAATCTTGACCATTAGATGTAAATTTGGGTGGCTAAAATTATTCTATTCATCAAGCTCAAACTTCAAAAGAAAAATTCTAGAACTTTGTGAAACATCCACGCAATCAATTTTCACAACTTTGTATCAAAGGCAAATTACATCCAAACAATCAAATTTCACATAAGAGGACTGTAAGTAATTTTGACAACATTGTATCAAAGGTAAATAGTCTTATGCAATCCCATAAATAAAAAAAACAATATCATTGGGCTTCTATAAGTTTTCCTTCCAATTCCCTCTCATGACAAAAATGTTCCAAAGAAAACAACTTCAACAAGATCATCTTTTTCACTTAGACATCTTAAAAGACTTAGACTTCAATTAATCATCCAAAAATATTTCAAAATACAATCGGTATTTGGAGTTATTAATTCCCTTTCTAGAAATGGGTTCACCATTTGGCGCTCTGGAGAATTTCGTTGAGTTCTTGTATAGGGTTTTGGGCTTCGAGCCAGAAGACACCACAACTTTTCAAAGCATCTCCTTAATTGAAACTTTTTTTCTGTACAAAATACAGCAGACAACTGTCATTTCTGGAGTCCATAAACGAGAAAATTGTGAACCTTAGGGGCCGTTTAGTTCCCTGGATTTATGATTCCTATATAAATGGATATCTTGAAATTAGTATTTATTGGAATTGGTATTTTCTGGAATATGGGTGTATGTTTTTTGGATTGCATCCGGTAGAGACTAGGAAGATGCAAAAAATTGCCTAGAATATGTTTTTCTTGGAAATCCTGAATTTTTTATGAATTAGTTTTTTAAAAACATTAACCATTTCCAATGTTGTGATTATTGAATCTTTTTTTCTAATGTTTGTCCAAGTGAGGTAACATTTAATATCATTTCTAACGACACCCAAAATTTGACATGATATATTACTTATAAAGACTTATTTTATGGCGAAGCTGTGATAAGTCTGAATTTTATTTTATTTGTGCCCTTAGATCTCATTGCTATAATGAATCACCGAGATGAATGCAAGACAGAGAAAGAGAGAGAGAGGGGAATTCAATATATAGAGAGAGAGACCCTTAAAAACTCAAGTGGGCCATACCATAGATAAACATTCACAAATTACAGAGCCTAAAACAATTAATGTGAAAGTCCACCATGCACCTCAATCCATATTGAAAACCCATGTTCTAAGTTATTTACCATAACATAATGATTTCATTCATTAGAGATATAGGAAGTTAAATAGAAAATCGATCCAAGAGAGAAGGGAGAGAGCAAAAGAAAGACAGCGAGAGCGGGATCTAAATTCCAAAATTACTTCATTACCATAACATAATGATTTCATTCATTAGAGATATAGGAAGTTAAATAGAAAATCGATTCAAGAGAGAAGGGAGAGAGCAAAAGAAAGACAAGAGATAGAGAGAGAGAGGGACTGAGGGCCACAAGAATCGAATTACAATCATTTTATCCATTTTAATATTTGGACTGAATCCAACCCAACTTTCTCGCATTATTATATCTTGCTCATATTCACATCCGACCGTTGCAATGCAACACCATCAATGTCATCTCATCAATGTGAGGATTACAAGGGTAACCACAAACCTTATGTACGCCACTGCTTCAGCAATCAACTCACTAGCCCGTAGAGGTCTCAGGAATGTATATGCTCAAGGTCCCCTCATGTTTGGCCAAGACCTTAGTATTGGATCCAATATCAGCAACATTTCACTGAGATTTGAACCTCAACACATAAGTGCACCCTATTCATTGTACAAGTATCATTTTTAGAGTGTATGTGCTCTGAAATTCATGAATTTTCTGATGAAAACAGACCCCACACATTGGACATTTGAAGTTGAAGAGAAAGCCATTACTCTAGAAATTTGAAGTTGCTTGAAATTGAAAAAACCCCAAAGAAATTGACGGTGTGTTTTAGAGAGAGAATGAAGAATGATGGATAGTGTGTGAGAGAGAGATAGAGCGAGGAAAATAGAGAGACAGAGAGAGATGAGGAAAAGAGGGACGAAAATAGAGAGAGATGAGATATACCTCCGTACGAGCAGGAGGTCCGGGCGAGCTTTGAGTGGCAACCCTCGGTGTGCCGAGCAGCTGCTTCAGGCAAGGGCGAGGCGAGCAAAGCTAAGGTTTCACGCAGGGGCTTCGAGCGGCGACCCTCGGTGTGGCGAGCAAAGCTAGGGTTTGCACACTGAACGTGGTGAGGTGGGGAGCCATACGAGCACTCCGAGAGAAGCTTGGTTTAAATCTTCCAAGAAAAATTGATTAGTGGATTGATCATTTGCTGTGCATTTTGGCTTCATAACTATGGTCTATTCTTCGTTAACAAAGTCTTATTTTGATCCATCCACTTGAAGAAGTTCAAAAGCAAGGGGTAGAGAATAACGGAATGGTGGGAATATGAATTTCCAATCAAATATCAAGTCCATTATTTGTGTCGGGGAAAATGGGTGATTTATGGAAAAAGTTTATATTAAACCATCAAATTAGAGCCCATCTCAACATTTTTATTAGAAGAGGGTTTGATGCCCAAATATCCTCAAATTGATCATCTCGACATGCATGGACATGAGAAAAAAATGGATTTCAAGTTTTTGAAATAAGGCATCTTGTAACGTATTTTTTTCCTGTTAATTTTTAAGATTTTCAAGTTTTTATAGATCTACGTGATATACAATATTTTTTAAGCCTTAAATTTTATAATTAAATATACAAATATATTTTAAAGTTATCACAAATATTTCCAGCATTAAAACCACATTTATCGACATTTTTTTAAGGTGGGCTCTAATTTGATTGTTTAGAGCCTAGGCTCTATATAAACCACACCTTCACTCAAAGCCGCACAATTCTATTATTTTTTTTACACAAATTTTTTTTTTTTTGAACATGTTATACAGTGAGATAGCAAGTCGATTCGATTATGTGAGTTCAGGAAAGTGGGTGATTCACTAAAAGCCGCACGATTCTTTTTTTTTTTTTAACACGTTAATAGCAAAAATGGAGGGTGAGACATTATGTTGAGGCATCAGCCCCCCAAACCACCAGTAGCCCAAGCCCATTTGCATTCCACAAAGGACTTTTTAAACACTGGTGTGACCTTGAGTGGCCTTAAGATGGAGAACAGGAGCAGAGGGCTGAAATCCGAAATCAACATACACAAAATATTAGGCTACCCATACACTTCACAGAAGGCATAAGTCGATAGAAAATTAAGGACTTAAAAATGATGATATTTAATAAAGAAAAACGTTTAAACAAAGTTGCGGCTTTATATTATAAAAGTAAAGTGCATTTCAAAAATCCAATAGAAAGGAATATTCCGAAATTGAAAAACCTTTCAATTGATCATCTCGACCTCGAAATCTATAGCTTTAAAAAAATAATAATAATAAATTCAAAAAGTAGTGTATCTTGTGATAAGTTACTTGGACTATCCATTTTTTATATTTTCACACTTTGTTAGATATGCTTGATCTGCACTTCATAATTAGGGTCAAACATCAATTTTTTAGTCATTGTATATTATCTCTTCCAACAAAGTTTAGAAGTGCACCTTACTTGTATAGTATAAGGTGGGCACCTTATACAAACCTCGCCCCCTAATAAAATACTATATCCCATTGAAATGGGTTTCATGTAAATTTAGCATTCATAAATGAAAGGGCTACTGTTTGTTATGTGGAGAATAGAAGTTTGTTATATATAGATAAGGAGGTAGCAGAGATTCTTAAGGTTTTGGCATTTTCTCCCTCAATTCCAACAGAAAAAACACAACTCGCCCCCTAATAAAATACTATATCCCATTGAAATGGGTTTCATGTAAATTTTGCATTCATAAATGAAAGGGCTACTGTTTGTTATGTGGAGAATAGAAGTTTGCTATATATAGATAAGGAGGTAGCAGAGATTCTTAAGGTTTTGGCATTTTCTCCCTCAATTCCAACAGAAAAAACACAACTCTTTCAAACTCTTGATATTGACAAACCCCGATTTCCAAAACCCTAGAAGTTGCAGAGCCTCTTCTCAAACTACATGTAGTTTCTTTTTCTATACATACAACCATTGATTGAGGACATCAAACTATACTCAATAGTACGGACAGAGAAAAGGATAAGATGATAATAATCCCCTCAAAAGAACGAAACGAGACCCCTCCTTGCTGATATGTCAGCCACTACATTTTCTTCAAACAAAATTTCACCCCGAAAACACACAGGCTTCAGAAAAGGTCCCCCTCCATGGAAAATTCTATCCATCTTGGTGTAGAACCTACGACATCAATATACATGGGATCAACTAAACATATCAAACTGGCTCCTCCATGACCAATAAATTTGAGAAAACTTGGCCTTCATACTTGGAGGTTCACCAAGAAACTTAAGAGACATTTGCAAATCTACATAGAGAAAACCCGGTGAGGCCATGACCCAAAGCAGGGTATGGCACACTAAAGAACTTGGAATATGAGGCCATGACTCTTTCTCTCATCCTTGTAAACTCTTCTATTCAAGTGGAACTGATGGATTCGAGACTTTTGGAGAATCCTTTCCACTCTTTGTAATCAAGTCATAATTGATGGAGGCTAACTGAGACAAGTTCTGAGACAAGTATACAGAAAGATTAGAGATTAGTCCACTCTACATTGGAATATCCAACTAGCAAAAAAAATTTGAGGATTCAACGTACGTTACAAGAAAAGTGAAGTTTTTTTTTTGGGAAGTAAAATACCTGACCCGCTATGTGTGCCATTTTTCAAAGGGGATAACGTTGCAAGATAGAAGGGGAAAAAAAAAATAGCAAATGTAAAAGCCCAAAGGAATTCATCTACCTTGAATGAGAAATTACTGAATGAATAGTGCACAACTGGTATAGAAATGAAATCAGCCAAACCGCCACATTCATCTCCCTGTTTGTGAGTAGAATACAGTAAGAATAACTATAACAAATCCATTAAAATTACTAGCTATATAAAGGACCAGTTGGTCTACTAACCATAAGAAAACCAAAAAAAATTGCTGGGATATATCTGGTTTCTTAGTCACTTACATCTTCGTCCTGGAGGTTGCTCAATGAACTACTGCAACTAGTGCTGCAAATGTCCGACTCATCATCATACTCATTGGAGGGTGCATAAACATGACCATTTGATGAAGCCCAGTTGTAACGGCTCATGAAATAGCTCGTATCATGTGCATCATCTGATGCAGGAACAAATGCTGCCTGTGATGGTCATGATTCCATGCATGGTTATGGTCAAATGGAGCCATAGATGTTTACTATAGAAGTATGGTTAGTAATACTAACCTAGTGTACTGATGGTATGGTCATAATCCCATGCAAGGTTTACTAAGAGTATGTGTACTACGGCTAATAATATTCATTAGCCATGCATGCTTATCATAATGGGAGAAGTCCACAAAAAGGAAATTATGTTACAATCCAATGGGCTAGAAAACCATAGCCCATTCATAACCATCCCATGAAATGATGGATAGTGCTGTAGAGAGAGAGACAGGTACCCAATGGAACAGGACACAACCCTGATGCAGGTCCCCCTTTTCCCTCTCGATCACCAGTTCATCGATCATTTCATTGGACGGTAAGGACATCAATGCACCACGGCATACCTTACCATATTTAGCAGTAAATCACTTGTAGGAATCACTTACCTTCTGCCTAGCTAGTGTCTCCCAGTTGATGTTTTTAAAGAAAGCATGCTTCTTAACCTGTGGGAGAAAGTTTGTTGTGCAGGTGGCAATATGTTATTCTCACAGGTGTCTAATAGTAGCAATCACCAAACAGGATTAGAAAGCATAGACTAACCTCTGCAGCTCCGGTAGATCCAAGTCTCTGAATTGGATCCTCAGTCAGCAACCTGGGGAAAATGGAACAATGGTGACCAACTCAACCCTTTGTGGGAAATTTTTTAATCAGAAAAAGTACAAATAAAATTAAATAGGAGCAATGAAAGTATAAAGAAAATAAAACAATGTGATTCTCCTCATTGGAGGCATGGATATCATCACGTTCACATTCCTTACTTGGAAAGAGTCAAGTAGTCAGAGAACATAGTACAAACATTTGATAACTTATCATAATTAATCACATTCCCAGAACAACATTAATTAGGAGGGGTGATTTGGTTCAAGTGAAAAGTCTTAAAAGAGCATGGAGAATGTCCCAAAGGACATGGATGGAAGTTGGCGAGAAAGATATAGTGGCTTATAGTCTGCTTAAAGATATAGCCCTTGATAGAGCAGAATGGTGAAATAGGATTCATGTCACCGAACCCAAGTACTTAGGATAAGGCTCAAATGATGATGATCATAATCAATCAATAGATTGGCAAAATCAACAAAGTTCTGAGAGAATACCACACCTTAACGCCATTTATATGAACTTGATTATAACCTGTGTTACATCCCAGTTCTATTTTAATGATTTTATTTTGTGTTACAATCTTGTTTATGTAAATTTCTCTTTTCTTTTTATTGTTTTAATTTTTTGAATCAATAAAAAATGATGCTTCAAGTATTTCTAAAGGAATATGTAAGTGGAAATGAATCAAAGCTAATAAAGAATCTTAAAATGCTTCATAACACATGTACATTAGAGCAAACACAAACATTTTACTGCATCTCTGTCAAACTTACTTGTCAATCAAGTCTTGTGCTTCACAGCTCATTTCCTCAGGTATTTGGGGCCATGGGATATTACGATTAAGTATGTTATCAAAGATTATCTGCAAAACAGTAAGAACTGTTACTACAGAAAAAACAAACTATTGTTCTATAATACAGTGAGAACAATCCGAATTATTGTCCTCTTGACTAAAGTCAAATTTCAGTAAGCATTTTAGGAATACTCGTTATTCCAATTAGGGTTAAGGTCCGGTTTTAGAGCTATAGGGATAGGAAAACTCTTTAGTCTAATTAAACCTTTGGGGCTTAGGTCTGGGTTCAGAGTTATAGGGAGAGAGATTTAAATATAAGACCTAGAGGTAAGAGATGTCTCGCTCTCTTCAGAGTATTAAACACCCCTAATTCGTAGTAGTTTCCTAGAAGCAATCGGTCCTGGCAAGCACACTCCCAGGATACAACCAATTCGGTAATATAATTCCTAAGTTTCTGATTTGCACGCTCAAGAAACTCATCTAAAATCACAACACCAGATGCTGTTATGTTTTCCAATTCGGTAATAATATTAATAAACAGCGATAGGAATAATAATTTCAAAATAGAAACAAATATATCTCTTACTAAAAATGAGAAACAAACTCGTAGCTCTTACAATATTGACGAACTCAAATTGTTATCATAAAAATCCGATAAAACAGGAAGCTTCTAGTCCCATAGAAAGGCCCTTCATCTTTTGTTCCAAATGATGAATGTCTGATCGAAATACATCCATGCATGAGGGTATCAAAATTCATATCATACATGCATGATGTTCATGAGATCGTCAAAAATTTTACAGGGTGAGAGAAATTTTTACATGGTGAGAGAAATATCACAAACTTTGTTATGTACGGAAATTTGAGAAAGCAACAAAATTAGCAAAAAAATATGCCAAACACAAGCAATATTAGTCTCATGAATACATAGGTCATTATAGTTCTTAATTTATGTTTCAAAACAAATTTATAATTAAGGACTATAATAAATATTTATAAACTTGTTTTGAAACATAAATTAATAAAACTAACACACTATCATCTATATAGTTCCGTTATAATTCAGTGTCCGTGCATTGGCCTCTAGGCAATAGAATCAGATGTCTACATTTGCATGAATATGGAAAAGAAATAATTAAAATCTGTCAGTGTATATATTTGTAAGGACATGCACTCTGCATGTGTGATACATAATGTGATAGGCAAGACTTAATGCTTTCATGCCTCCTCATGTTTCATGTTGCAATCACCCAAATCCACCCCTAGGGTGAAAGATAGTCATTGCTCATTAATGTGAACACCTGTATCTAGACATATGGCAGCCTGAAGATATTGCCGCTTTCACCCATACCCAACCTCTTGGGGTTGATTTTTAAGCATAAGCATATTCCTTCATAAAATAAAGTAAGATCACAAAACGTTGATTGGAACTACTGAAATTTTTTTTTTTTTTGAGAGAATTGGAACTACTGAATTTTCTTTAAGCATAATTGTAATGAAGAGATATAACGAAATTAACTACTACCATTGATACTTTCCGAAACTGTGAAAAGAGCAACGAGTAGTAGATTTCAAGCACTACACCTGTGGATGCTCAGCATTAAAAGGTGGAATACCCACAATCAGCTCAAAAAGAATAACACCAACAGACCACCAATCTGCAGTTGTACCTGTAATACAAAACTAACATAAAAGGCCTAAAACTACAAAATGAAAATTTGACCTTATTTGCTATTGAATTTATTAGCAACAAATTCAAAAGATATAACCACAGTTTTTACAAGAAAAAAACAGAGAAACACATATTTGCGAAGAATATCACAAACCGTGGCCCATTCCTAATAGTATCTCGGGTGCCAAATAATCAGGAGTACCAACAGCTGACTGTTTCTGACGTTCCTCTCTTTTATGTGATTGCTCAGATGCAGATAATTGGGGCCTATCTTGTCCAAGCTCTGCAGTTCCACTGACTGGTGGACCAGATAGATTATCAGTGCTGTTGATAAGGCCAACTTTAGAAAGCCCAAAATCTGTCAACTGTACCAAAAAGTGATTAGAGATCCATCATGAATGTGTAAATAACATCAAGTTCACTCATGAACAACTGGATTAAATAATTGTTAATGCAGATTAGATATGAAATCTAAACTAGAAGGATGAAATCCAAGGTACTATACAGGTCATTACATCCAATTGACTTGAAATAGCTACTGCATTCAATTATTTTCCATTCCAACATGTCAGAAGGTGGTTATGAGGGAGAATTCAACAGCATTTTGAAATTATTTTGCTCAACTTTATAAGCTCCATTCATGAATAAGCTGAGCTAAACTTATCAGTTATAATGTACAAGTTACATTAAGCATGCCCCCATTATTAATCCTAACTAATAAGTGGGAAAAAGAATATTGACCTTGATATGACCATCATGAGCAATCAATAAATTGTCTGGTTTCAAATCACGGTGTATCACATGCAATGAATGCAAGTACTCCAAGGCAAGAACCTGACATCAAGAAAAGATGAAATCTGATTTGTAATGAATGAGTCACATCAGTAGTAGAGTTGCAAAAACGAGCAATAGGAGGAGATGAGAAATGAATGATATAAGAAAGGTGCAATACAGCTAATGCAACATGTATAAGGAAAGAGCATAAACAAATAAATTCTCCTTACAACTTCTGCTATATATACACGAGCCATGTCTTCATCCAAGCAACCCAAATTTCTTAGTAGGGAATAGAGATCCCCTCCATTCAAGTATTCCATCACAAGATAAAGGTTCTCCCTACACGTGAATGAATAAAAAAAGCGTACCTGAAGTTCGAGTCACAATCCATGTTATAAAAGTTTGAAAAAAAATATAATTATGATAACAAGTACCAAAAAACCAAAATCAACATGAAAGTATTTGCAACTCTGTAAGCTACTCACAACAAAAGGATTGCGAACTGAAATAAGGATGTCACGCTCAGCCAAAATACTTTCTACTGCATTTTTACGGATCATGTCCACCTTTTTAAGAACCTGCAAGAATTGAAGTCTGTTGTTTTAGGTTGGCAGTCAGCATAAAACTTTTACCACATCTCTATCATGAATCCTAATCCAATTTATATGCTCGTGCTAGTGCATTCCCCGATGATAAAATCACAAGACTTAAACTAAATCTTCACTCTTTTCCATTTCTTATGATAGCACCAAAACCTATCATATGACTAATTTGTACAAACTATGTACGCTGAAGTGGTTAACATAACAGCTATTAACCTTACAACTATGGCAGTTATTCCGATGACAAATTGTGGATCCACGTCACAAACAGCACCAACATTATTAACAAAATTCTATCAGCCAACTTGAAACAAACTATCGCGCAATGACTAATACAATCAAGCCGGCTTTCCTTTCTGGGTTTCTTGCAAGTAATTCAAAATAGGCATTTTTTATTTCTTGCAGAAGAAATAAAAAATCTGAAACATATAAATCACGAGATCATATTACGTTGTAGAATTCCAAAGGTGAAAACACCAGTATTTAGGGACTCGGCTGAGTTGACTTGGAATTGGTTGAGTCAACTAGGACTCAACCGATTTAGGCGAGCGCCCATCTACCCCTTTGGTTACATGGGAAGGTGAACATTTGTCGGGCAAATACTATTCATACTTGCCTAAGTGCTGTAGAACTCGGTCCCCCTATTTCATCTCTCTCTCTCTCTCTCTCTCTCTCTCTCTCTAAAATGGGGGCAGATTTCTGCCCCCTTTTTTCATCACTTCTTTACTCCTTGCTTCTTTGAGTCTCAACCATGGAAGAAGTCACGCACAAAACATTTATGTCAAGTACTCTCCCTCTTTCTTTCTCTCTCTAAAATGGGGTGGATTTTGCCGTCCCTTTTTTTGACTCTCTCTAACAGGAAGTAGATTTCCACCCCTTTTCGTCTCTCTAAAAGGGGGTAGATTTCTGCCCCCTTTCGTCTCTCTCCCGCCCTCTCTCTAAAAAGGGGGTGGATTCCACGTCCCTGTTGTCTCTCCCTCTAAAAGGTGGTGGAAATCCGCCCCGTTTTTTCCATTCACGGTTTCCATTTCTCTCTCTCTTCCCTTCTCTTCCACCGCCGACTCCCCAAGTGAGAGATCTTTCTAATGATCCCCCCACGTGAGAGAGAGAGATGCCTTTATGCCTGAAAGAGCGAGAGACGTGACCAAGGGAGAGAGATGAGAGAGAGAGAGTGGGAGACGCCTGAATATGCCTAAGAGAGAGAGACGTGGCCAATGGGAGGAGAAAGAGATATGTCCCGGGGGGAGAGAGAGAGATGTGGCCAAGGGAAAGCTTCATACTCTCTCTCTTTCTTTGGCACATGCTCAAGCTCTCTTTCTTTGGCACATGCTCAAAGCCCACTCTCTCTTGGCCATATGCCAATTATTTTTTTTTCATTTTTTTTTTTTATTTTTTTTATTTTTTTTATTTTATTTTTTTTTTATTTTTTTTTTTTCTTCAAAAGAACATTATTTAACCGTAGCCGAGTCACTTGGACTCAACCAAATAACTCAACTTAGGCAAGGGCTATGTCCAGTGCCCGAGCCAAGTCTTTGACCATTGGAAAATACAATGCACTTTATAAGGTACTCTACTACATAAAAAGCCTGACCTTTATCGCGAAGGGGGAGAGAGAGAGAGACGTGGCCAAGGGAGAGCCTCATACTCTCTCTCTTTCTTTTGCCGCATGCCCAAAGCCCTCTCTTGCTCTCTCTCGGGCATTGCCAAGTTATTTTCTCTTCCCATACCTCCATTTTTTAAGTTTTTCCTTTTTTTTCTTTTTTTTTTTTTTTTTGGCTTTTTTCCAAGGGGATACTACTCAGCCAAGTCTACTAGGACTCGCCAGAGTAACTCAACTCAGGCAAGGGCTGACTCCAATGCCCAAACCAAGTCTTTAAACATCGAAAAATACAATTAAACTCTGTAAGGTACTCTACTACAGGAAAGCCTCACCTTTATCGCAAATAGGTCACCAGTTGTTCTTTTTCTTGCCAAGAAAACTCGTCCAAATGCCCCTCGACTAATTGGTTTTATAATTTCAAAGTCATCTATGGAAGTCCTGTCTTTATTGTTGACGGGGCTTGCTCGTGAGCTACGAACCAGATCATCGTCAACGGAACCATCTTCCTCAATAGCATTACTCGATGTATCTACTTTGTCATCATCTGCTTGATCACAAAGATGGAGGAACTTCTCCCTGTAGAGTTATAAAGACATCCATATAACAATTTCAGTATATTAAACTACTGCCCTTGATGCCTACAAGAAACCCAATTGCAGAAAGAAAGCAGGATCACATTTTAGATTCTTTCACTCTTTAGAAAGACTTCCACTGGTGCTTTTACAAAAATAAAGAGGGAAAAATTACAATAACCCAAATGACTATGGAAAAGCTATAGTCAAATGGCTCCATTGAAATGATGCACGATGATGAGAGATTAGAGGAGAACCGCCAGAACATGTCAAGACCCCAAAGGTTGGTCTTGATCTCTCTCCATCACCATACGTCATTTCAATTGATGGTGATGTCCCTATGGACTCCAGTTTTTGCCTAGTATGCTGGACTGCAGCAATACCTTCCTAAGATGCCAAGTTAAATTATGTAAAGGAGAATGTCCAGAGCAAGGAGACTCACCTAAATAATTTTTCAATGCGTCTTCCAAATGTCTCAACAATAAGGGCATCCACTTTCCTGTTCAGGAGAACATCTTGCAGGTTTTCCAGACAAGAAACCAAGTTTTCCGATGCTTGTTCATCAGCTGTGTCTGCTTTTGCAATACACCTAGCAATGTCAACAAGATCACTAACCTGCCATTCCAAAATAAGTGATGCCATCAACACAATTTTATCTAAATGAAAAATATTTCACAACTAAATGCAATTCTACCAAAAAGAGCAAAACCAATACCATGAGAGCCATGATGGAAGTGAATCTCCAGAGGAGAGAAAGGTTTGGAATATGTTAAGGACAGGATAATTTGTACTTCTGCTCACTTAGATACATAAAGGCATTTCATTGTTGTACCACGGTATATGTTTTTCCCTTTTTGTCTCTGTTCTCTTTTCCTTGAAGTTACTTCTGCTAGAAAAAAGATAGCATGACATACTGGAGCTTAAAATCTGCATGTTTGTTGCCAATGATTATGTTGATCAATTCCTGAATCCTTTCTAGTTAGAATACTAGATGTCTTTATTTTTTTTGAAACTGTTAAATATATTATATTAGTAAAAGAAAGTTACAAGTGAGAATGGTATACCAAAAACTAGGGCTACCCAAAACAGCTAGGAGCCCTATACAAAAACCCTCTAGGGGCCCCAAAAACTCCCAAAGAACACTATACAATGAATCGCAAGTGCGAGTAAGAACAAAAAAGGGGGTTCAATAGCTCAAATAAGAACAAAAAAGGAGGATCAATAGCTCAAAAAGTTGGGAATCAGCTCCCTCCCTAGCAAGGAGATCGGCATCAGCATTAGCTTCCCTCCATAGGTGCCTCCACAAGATGGTAAGGGGGCTGGTAATGTGCAATATTTCTCTAAGATGGGCCAATTGCCACGGGCAGGTTGTAGTGTCTGAGGCCAATGGTGTTCTTGGAGTCACCTTCGATGACCAATGCATTGTCCCAGCTCGGATTGAACTTTCTGAGGCCAAGGAGCAAAGCTAAGGCCTCGGCAAAAGTGAAGTCAGCATGGCCGATAGGGGTGAAGAAAGAGAGAAGTATGTTGCCGGTATGAGTTCTGAAAATTCCACCAACACTCGGAGGGCACGGGTTGCTAAGAGAGTAACCATCGAAGTTAAGTTACACAGTGGATATGTCAGGGGCTATCCACAAAGAAGCATGAGAGATTCCGGAAGGCCTCAAGTCAAGCATGGCTTGCCAATTACGAAGGAAGTCCGAGAGAGAAGTTCCTAAAAGTCTTGTGGTGTGTCACCCAAAAGGTGACTAGCTCAATGATCTTCTCAAAACAGCGATGGGCCGTGCTTCTCTCCCCCGTAAAGATGTTGTTGCTATGCTTATCCAAATACTCCAAATTGTCGCTGCAATGGAAGCTCCCCAAAGGAAGAGTCCAGCTTTGGACCAGGGGGGAGAGAGAGGTTTGGAAGAGGTGGGGGAGTGACATTGGGGTAACTCATGCCCAATTAAAAAGGTGTAACAGTTTGCGCCAAAGGGTGCTAGCAAATTCACAATGGAGGAAGAGGTGGTCATTAGTTTCCTCAACTGATATACACAAAGCACACCTATTGGTTAAGGAGGGGCCCCTTCTTTGGATATGATCGATGGTGAGGACTCTGTGGGACAGGGCAATCCAAGTAAACATCTAAATTTTGGGTGGAGTTAAAGGGAACAAGGCTTTGGCAGCAAAGGAAGGGGGATTGGGAGGAAAAAGGGAGGGAAGTGATCTTTCAATACATAGAGGCCATGGTGAAGATTCCTGAGGGGGCGGGGGGGCCCAAATGAAGACATGATCGAAAAGAGTGTACAAGGCTGTGAACTCCTCAATTTCATGGTTCAGGAGGGCTCTGCGGAGGTCAAGATTCCAAGACCTCACGGGACAACCAGGAGGGAAGTAATCAGCCACAGTAGCTTGGGGATTCCTAGCGAGGCTAGCCAAGGAAAGAGGTTACACAGTGCAAAAGAGGCAAGCCAAAGGTCTTTCCAGAAGTGAACTTTGTCCCCCACTGTAGGATGAAATCGGATATTGGCAAGAAAGAGTCCCGGCTGCAAAGAATGGACCTCCACACACCCGAGATCCTGCCTGAGGTCCTACAAGGAGGGCTCCGATCATCGCTGTTGTGGCAGTATTTGTGACAAATTACCTGCCCCCAAAGGTGATCAGGCTGAGTGGCGACCTCCGCCAGCACTTTCCTAACAGGGCAAGGTTGTTAGGTTTCAACTTTTGGATTCCCAGCCCACCCTGAGCAATGGAAGAGCAAACTTTGTCCCATGCAATAAGGTGATATTTGCAGCCTTCAGTCCCTGACCAAGGGAAGTTTCGCATGATTTGTTCCAAACGGGCTGAGACTGCAGATGGCATGTGGAATCGGGATATTAGAAAGGGTGGCTTTGATAAGGATTTTTCTTCTTGTAGAGAGAAGAAATCTTCCCTTCCACCTCGCGAACCTTCTATCAAATTTATCAACTATATGGCTCCATTGTTCTAATTTGGGAAAGCCGTGACACAAAGGTAGGCCAAGTTAAGTGGAGGGGAGGTCGTCAACTGCACACCCCCCATCTCCCAGCCAATGAACTGAAACCAGTGGTGAATTCAAAACACTTCAAAAACAAGAGGAGGGAGTCGACTTGTTCCAAGAAGGCATTGCAAAAAAGTAGGGTGGCGTTTGCATATTGCAGATGGGAGATAGTGGGGCCATGGGTAGAGGATTGGACCCATTGAGATAACCGTTAAGGTAAATTCTGGAGATGTATCTGGAAGGGTGATAAGGGATGGCCCTGGCAAAGGCCCCTAGAGGAAAGAAAGAAACCCACGAGAGAGCTGTTGATAAGGATAGAGAAATGAGGGTCTGAGATGCAACCCCTCATCCAAACTCTCCAACAAGGTCCGAAGCCCATCCTACGCGAGGATATCCTAATTTACATGGTCATAGGCCTTTTCCTTGTCCAATTTAATGACAAGACCAGGAATTTTGGAAAGGATACGAGAATGGAAGCACTCATGGCCATCATTGGTAGTCAAGACATAGTGTCTGGAGAGGTAGATAGATAGGACTACTAGTTGCTGGATCAGGACCCTAGCTTTATTGCAAGCCAAAAGCCTCACTGAACAACATCGAGGATTTGCCCTTCTTTAACAAATGCCCCTTGAGAAGGGAAGGTAACCCAACCGAGGACCCCTTTAAGCCTGGTGGGGAGGACTTTGGAAAGGATCTTGTAGGAGCTATTTATGAGGCTAATGGGTCTGAAATCTTTGAGTTCTTCTGCCCCTTCATTTTTCGGGATCAAGGCAAGGAAGGTGGTGTCCTTGCTTATGACGGCACGTGAATGAAATTCAGCAAAGAAGGCCAGTATATCAGGCTGGAAAGTCTCCCAAAAGGACTTGAAAATGGACAGAGGGTATCTGTCAGGGCCTGGGGCCCTATCTTGGCCAAGGTTGCTGATGGCGTCAAAGATTTCATCCTCTTGAAAGCGTCGCTGCAGCCAGGTTGCTCTATTAAGAGGGAGAGCAAGGAAGGAGAGATCAGCCATAGAGGGTTTGGGGTTAGGGGGTAAGAAGAAAAGATAGGTGAAGAACTCAACAATTGCTTGTTCAATGCGGGGGGTCGATCAAGGACGGTGTTGCCTACCTTGATATGGGAGATGGAGTTATCCCACCTTCTACAGTTGGCGATTCTGTGGAAGAAGGCAGTATTGAGGTCCCCATGCTTGAGCCATTTGATTCTGGATCTTTGGGCCCAATAGATTTCATCCTTTCTCAAGTGGAGGTCGTAGTTCAGTTTGGCTTGAGCCCTAGATTGACGTTCCTCAGTGGAGAGGGGCCTGGACTCTTCAATGGAGTTTTTCATTGTAATGCCTTACTATATCCCTAATATAAATCGAACATAACATGTGATTGCAACCATTGGTACTCAACAATGGATGGATAAGATGAAATGTTCCTCCTCTTGAGAGTAAAATGATGGACTTGAGCAAAGAAGAGTTCCTCTTAACACAATCCACAATCAAAATGGTATACTATTGATAATCACAAACAATCCCTAAAGGACAAACCTAAAAAACATTTGCTTCATTATTTGTCCATATTTCTTTATGTTTTTATAGTTTTTCCCCCTAAATGTTTAGCTGCTTTAGCAGTTTCTAATATGGTTTTCTTCTGAGTTTTCCTATTTGTTTGTTTTTATTTATTTTTTAAAGACAAAGCTATTTGGAACTTAGATATTCTAGCCAATGCTTGCAGGGATTCTGCATTCTTGCACTAAATTCCCATTATGGAACCTGTAGGGCCTCTAGTAACAATGGTTTCAAACACAAATCCTAGTAAATCTTCTAGTAATTTGTGAAAGAAGATTATATCCAAAATGAGCAATGTTATTTGATATAACCTTTCAAGTTTCAACAGATCGACAAAGAAATTTCGTCCCCATGCATCTAAATATGTTTAGCATTATAAAACATTTAACATAATAAGAGGACATGTTACACTATACATTAAGACAGAATAGCAAACAGAAGCATGGAAAGACACCTATTCAAAAGCTGCAAAATTAACAAAACATTAGTGAAGACCCTTAGTATTCCATTTTCATTCTTCAATTCCAGGACTAGATATTGCATCAATTATTGACGCAACAATTTGCATAAGTTAATGAAAATTCATACTCAGGCATGGAAATGGCAAGGCCCTTAGCCCGTTTTAGCCGGTCTGACTCAGCCAAGTCACAACAAGACTTGGCCAAGTTGAGGAAAAAATAATCCAGTAATCTAAAGAGACTCAGCTGGCTACCAAGGTTTTTCAATGGGACCTGGCATGTTGCCGTTATCTGCGTAACTTGGGTGACTCCAAGTCAGACTCGACGAACTTCATAATAGTGATATGCATGAGTAACTGGAAAATACGGCATGGGCATATAACAAGTTGAGGTTTCGAAATTCCAACTAGCCGAAGAGAATAAGCAAAGAAGGGGTACCTGTTGGAAGTTTTCACTTTCAGAGAACATATTCCTCCCTGACAATAGCAATTCAACCTGGCTAGCTCGTGGTGTCAAAAGAGGAGATTGAGGTGTTGTGCTTTCTACTGAAGGAAGGTCTCTCATATCATTCATAATGGAAGAATCACTGTCCTCAGGAATGAAATCAATCATTTCTTCAGAACTCTGATGAGGCAGTTCACTTGTCTTTGGAGAAAGACACTCTAATCTTTCTGATACGCTAGAGTCAGACACCTTTGTGAGGTCTGGACTACCTAAACCAGGATTATTTGAGCTTCTAGGTGTACATGAATCCAATATTCTCTCTAGGGTTTCAGCTATTCGTTCAAGGCGCTCATCAACACTGTAGCCCTTCAAATCACATCTATCAGCAATAGTACAAATCCTAGAGTGATCTTCAACATGTAAAGTGTGAATTTTTTCCTCACAAATGCGACATATCATAGAATTACCATTTGAGTTGTGGTGTGGGTCTTCACAGCAACCCCAAGAAACTCTTCGTGTATTAGTGGAAGTAACAGCTGAACTTCCAGAATCTTGATGGGTCTTGGCAGTTTCAATGTTTGCATCTACCTCAGTTTGTCTCTCATGCTTAAAAGAATTGTGTTTCCCTGACAATGGAGATTCATCCAATTCTGAGTCTTTTTTCTGGTTCTTCTCTGCCGCAGAGGGGAGTTTCTTCCAAGAAGATATGCGATTCCTACTGGCTGGTGAATCAGAAGATTTAGCAGTGTCAACATCTGAAAGATGACCAGATTGATCTTGGTTCCGGCCCAAACCACTCAAATCCTCAACATAATACTTCCTTGTGGACTTGGACTTATATTCTTTTCTGATACTCGATCTCTTGCCATCTTGTCCCCCCTCTATCAATACATGCTTGTCAGGATAAAACCCAAGATCACTGCATTGATGAAGGCCAAGAATGTGTTCATCCTCAGTCAAGCCCCCCCTTTCATTATGGAATTGCAAGAGTCTGGTGCATTGGGTGAGGATAAAAAGTATACGAATGTAAAGCTGTTTAAGTGTGCCCATAGGCAGCTCTTGTCGCTGATCATCTAGATGTAGGACAATGCTTTCACACTGTTGCCAAAACTCGTTAGATGACATCATGGCACATTCTCGGGCAAGAACCAATAGATCCTCCAATGATTTCTTCCATGAATCCTCAGCATCCACATTCTTTTCAAGTAAAGTAACCAAATCCCCAGCAAAAATTGCGAGATCAGAGCTCACTTCTTCCTTTGCTCCGTCAAACTTTGCACGAATAAGGCCCATGATTTCCTGCAAAAAATAATCATAACAAAGGGAACAAAGATAAAATAAACATCAACTGCACTCTATAAGAACAAACTGAACTCATCAAATCCAGAAAACAAAATCAAATGCAAGTATTACTCGATAAGCAGATTCTTAATGTGAAATATGGAGAATATTGATTATCACCTCCAAATGACTTAAGCCACGAGGTTTCCGGAATGGAAATGGTTTTACTCCTTTTGAGTTCAGTTCATGAGAGAAGCTCTTAATATCAGCTGGGAATCTCTTCTTACGACCACTTGTAACCCGCAATATCGCTTTGAAGCGAGGAGAATCAACCTCCTTTGGTGTGCCAGAAGTCTCACAAGCATCCTAAAAGCATATCAAACTAAAAGACAATGAATACAAAAAAATACCTAGACTCCAAACAAAGAGAAGTTATAACTAAGTAATTAGTGTGTGTGTGTCGTGGAAAGAAGTAAATCCAAGACTTCAAAATTGCACTTAACATTGAAAACATACCTCTTCCACAGAAAACGGTGCATCAGAACATTCAGAGGGTTTGGATTGAAGCTGTGAACCTTTTTTACCTGTATGAGGGTACTTAATTAATTAGTAAATCTGAATACTTGATACTTCAAACAAGAATACCACTATAAACACAAGTTCGGGCTTGATAAATCCAATCTTCAAATGAAGGCCAAGGAATGATAAATTGGAGAAAGAAAGCAAACTAAGACGAATATCCCAAGGAATGTGTTTAACATCCAAATTCTATCACGGAAGTACGATAACAGGCCTAGTTGCAAAAGAACATACAAGAGATATCATCATGAAGTAGCCAGGCATCATGTTTAATAAGCCATGCTGATATTTACTAATGACATACCATACCAGTCAGAATCTACACTTAAATAGTGGTTCTTATAATATTATAGATACAAAAGGCAGTCACTTAAGGCACTTGAAACAGTACCTCTAATAAAAATGAAAAAAAATAAAAACGGAAGTGCACATATCTTGTACAGATTCAGCCCCTCAAGGAAATAGTCTAATTTCTTGTTTTAACTGATAGAATGAGCAAATGTTGACCAATGGAGAACCTTTTTAGGACAGCACACACTGTATATTTATGTTGAATTGTACATGATGTTTGCAGAAATGGAAGAGCCAATGTTGTCAGAGATCCAAGTATTGCCATTTGTAGATTTCCACCGAATTGACATTTGTTCCAATGTAAGTCACACTTCAAATAGCAGATATATTTTTGTAAATATATCTGACAAGTTCGAACCCTTCAAGAAAATGGAGTATTCCATGAGCCCAAAGATTGTAGTCTTTCCCCATGAATTTCCCATTCATCAGACGGTTCTTATTGAGACAGGTGGCCATGATGAGCGGGGAAGAAATATGAGTTACTGACTGCAAAGTAAATGGGAAGGATATGCACTAAAAATAGAGAGAAAAATGACAAGAAATATGGCTAATTATTTTCTCAGAGAGTTCCCCTCTCTCCCTAAAATTCTTTAGGTTTATCCACATTTATTGATTTCAACTAGCATGCTAATCTAACGACATAGGGAGACATGATTCAAAATCAATCAAATTCTTCCTGAAAATTAAAGAACCCAATACTCAAATTGAAAAAAACTACTCTAGCTTACCTAATTCAACGTGGGGCTTTCCATCTTGCAATGGCGCAACCATGTCTGAAGAAATTAGGTTTTCAGAGTGTGTAGAATCAGTAGGGGGAGGGCAAGAGAAACCGGCCGATCTGGTTCTTATGTAATGGAGACTGAGTGACGAGGCCATTAATAAAGACGAAGGGTAACTCTCAGCACCCTCACGTTTTCCATCCTTGCTTCTTCGAATGGGTATTGGAGGGATCTTTCTAAGCTTGCTTTGCAACTTTTTAGCCTGCATTACAGGGTCCTTTTTCTCCTCTTCTTTTTTCTTTGACACCCGATTTTCTTCTCTTGAAACTCCATTTTCATTTTCTGAAACCCCATTCTCAATTGCGCTTTCTCCCATGGCGATTTCAGGGGATGCCATTAATGGGTGATTCAGATAATGCAGGGAAGTTTAAGCGGCCGTTTCATTATAATCATCGCCACCACTGATTCACGTTTGTGGATTTTTTCTAACAGAGAAGTCAAGAGGGAAGGTGAGGGAAGGGATCAAAAGCTAGAGAGAGAGTTACGTAAAAAATAATGAGAAATGGTATAAATATCAAAGAAAATCAAAAGGAAACCGTGGTTCTAATCATTTGTGCTCCAGAAGCTGAATGGGCGAGAACAGAGAGTAGGATAGAGATTGCAGTTAGTTAGATAGATTGACAGAGAAACACAAAACAATATGAGAGAGACTTAATCCAATTCAATCACAGGGACGAGAGAGAGAGAGAGAGAGAGAGAGAGACAGACGTGTTGAGAGCAGAGCGCAAAAGAGAGAGAGGGGTGGGTTAAGAGACGTGTTCAGCACATCCGCCGGATTGGCTGCCCGGAAAGCGAGGGAAAGGGTGTTTTCGTCTTTATATCACACAAGATTTCGTAAATGGACGTTGCCGTTTGAATCTTAATATTATGCCAGAAGTTATTATACTCTCACGGGAGTATACTGTCTATTTATTCCCTTGCGTAAACCCTATTTAAAATTAATTTTAGGATCTCCGAGATGTAACGCCCTCAACCTATAGATTAATTTCAATAAAATAAATTTCCTAATAGCACCCTCTATGTACTTTAAAAAAAAAAAAATGCTTCGAGATTGAATAGAGATCACCTAAGCTTTTAGATGGTGAGAATAATCTAGTGATTCTTGGGTCATTTCTAAAATTTCATGAAAACATCATCTCAAGTAGGTCTTCTGACCACGGGAGTATCTTTGCTTTTTTAGGAATTTGTTTTTCAATAACAATATCAAAATTATAATATAGTCTATGTAAAATCTCATGTAGTTAACATGAAGCAATACCGTATACTTGAATCTATTTTTTAGCTTCAATAGGATGTAGCACTAGATGGAGAACTCAATTTTACTAGAGAAAAAACCCAGTCTAGTGTTTGGATTCCTTATGAAATTTGTTTTTTTTATGTTATAGATATACAAAGTTTATTTATTTTTTAATTTTTTTTAAATTGTAGGAATGCTTGAATGACAACCTAGTATGTGAGTCATTAGTGGAATAATGACATGTTTAGCTCATTAAATAAAATTAGCATTTTTGTGATAACTTATTAACTCTAATTAACTGTATTTAAAAGAATTGAGGTAAAATTTATATTTGGATCTCAACTCCTTTAGATCATGAATATGAGAGTTATAAAAAGAGGTCAACCTGCCAAGAGAGGATGATGAGAAAAAGATAGAAAATGGTGAAAGAGATATATACAAGGTGAATGATAATCAAGAAAAAGAAAGTCTCCAGATAGTCTGTCAACAAATGACTTGAGGATATGCAACAAAACTTTATGGTCCTCCATGTTTTGAAAGGAATGAAACCTTAGAAAAAGACAATGGATTAGGGCATATGCATCTTATTTATACCATTAAAAGGCCCAAACCTCTTATACAATCCCAAAGGGCCAGATGATCCCACTTAGGGGTGGCAACGAGTCGAGTACACTGGAGCTGGAATTTTGGATCCGAACCTAATCTTTCGAGTCCAAAATTTAGATCCATACCTGGATCAGTCGAGTACAGGGTATACCCATCGGGTCCTAGGTCTAATCGGGTCCATTAATACCTTATGACTATCACCTTTTTTATTTTACTTTTTACCTTTTTTTACCATCATATACCCATATTATTGACAACATTTATAGTATTGCATAACATTTATGAATACCCATACATACCCACATTCCTTACTAGAAATTCCTAAGAGCAAAAGTATTGGCATACCCATATTATTCGGATCAGGCACATGTCAAGTCCGGCCGAACCTAGACCTGAACTTAAATAGTATTCAAGTCTAGGTTTTGGACCTCGACCCAACCTTTCACGTCCAAAATTTGAACCTATAACCGGACCCAAAATGTCGAGTCCTGAGTCTGGTCGGGTCCATTGCTACCCCTAATCCCACTTTTTATATTTAGCTTTCATTTCAATTGATTGTCTATTTTAAAAACTAAAATAAAATATCTAAATTACCCCAAGATTATGAACCCTAAACAACTAGGATTATGAACCCTAAATAACCATGGGTATTTTAATATTTTTTTGGATGAATTTAGTATTTTGATAATTGAAACTAAGCAAAATAGCATGAATACCTTTGTTTGTGCTAAATTTCCAAAATGCCCCAATCCTTCTAAAGGGTAGGGTTTAAGTTTGTATTAAGTCCACTATTCCAAAAAAGGATTGTATTCCTTACAAGAAGGTCCAGTCAAATTGGTAGGCTTGGGATGTGTCATGAAGTCAGAGAAATTTTTTGAGCATTGGGTTTACTCAATGACATTGCTTACAACTACTCAATTTGAAACTTATAGGACAAGAGTGATTGTGTCCTCCTCGTGCTAAAAGTAAATAATCGCTTTGTATATTTTTCCTTCCGAAATGACGCATCCTAGATCCTAATGTATTTTGGATTCAAAGTTATACAGGCAGACCATTAGGATCATGAATCTCTTAAAAGAATGATTTTTTAGCCATAAGATGATCCACCTTGTGACTTATTTTTTGGGATCATTTATTCTAATCCTCCAAAAAAAAATCATTATATCGCATAATTTTCAAAACTCCAAATTCACGGATTTGCGGAAGAAATAGAAAATTTTTTCTCATACTTAAAAAAAACTTAAAACCTAGGGAATGCATCAGTCAAATTCAGCTGACACCAAAAAAAAAACATGTAAATTATGTATTTACGTATACCTGTCATTTTTTCATGGATATAGTTTTTAATACTTTTCCAATTATATATGTATGGGCACTCCTGAAAAAGTTTTCCTTGAACTAAACTACGTATAACACTTCATATTTAAAAGCCCCGTTCTCCATTCCCACCGCTAACATGTCCAAGAGAAAAAAGAAGAAGAAGCTCCCAAAGGAAATCAAGAATCCTAACTGATCCAAAACCAGACGTATTTATCAAACCAAAGGCATGATAAAGAGAGAACTCTTTCTTTCTCTGCTAACTCTCTTGCTTACTACACGTATGGACTCGTTGTTTTAGACGTTGGCCGTCTAAAATTTGGAACCCAAAAAAAAAAAGCCTAGAGAAAATCCAAAACAGTCTTGGATCATTGTAAAACGTGCCTACAAATAGTATAAAATTTGGGTATTGACAAATAAGAAGTTTTAAAAAAACGACTTATCACTACAGAGCTACTTGTTAAGACCAAATTGAACCGAACAATTTGATAACCATTAGTATGTGTCTTAGTTGGTCAGGCCCAAAGTAAAAATGGCCAAAAGAAAAACTAAAAAAAAAAAAAGGAAAAATAAAAATCTGGTCCAAAATTTGGCTAGTTGATAGTCAAGTTTAACCGACTAGACCGGCCCAACAAGATAGACAATTTTTATGCAATATATTTTATATTTCTAGGTATTGTTCATATTTTTTTTTGATATTTTAAAAATCCAGTCCACAACCAATTCTAGTGTTTTACTAATAAGTCCACAAATTTTACCGCTCAATATCTCAATGGCAAGTCTGTAATAATATTGATCTTAAATATTTTAAAAAATATCAAAATACTCATATAAAATATTTAACATATAGACAAGCTTTCTATACTTCCCCTATTGTATAAAACTTATAAACTTCCCCCATCCAACCATCCATTCTGAATAGACAGCTGATGGCTCTAATCACAATGTCATGCCTCTATGCTATTTATTTCTCACCTTCACAAAATATATATAAAAAAATTCTAATAGAATAAAATAACCAAATGCCCCTAATAATTTTAAAGGTACTTTGGTCATTATATTTTATAAAAAATAATTTTTTATTATTTGTTTTAAATACACCCCATTTAAATGATGGCATGAACCAAATTTCATATTCATAGAATTTGTTAAATAAATAAATAAAAATCAAATACTCTAAAATGTCGAATCTAGATAAAACTATTAATAACTCACTTGATCTAAATTAGACAGCTAGATGGAAGGAAGTATATTTCCTCTTTACTTTAAATATAGATACCTTTTCCTTAACATATTGTCCATTTGCAACTACTCTAAGTTGAAAGGCTCTGCGCGTATTTTATGAGTTTCTTAAAATTAAATATAAAATGTAGATAAGATGTTAAATTGCTCATCTCTTATATGTATTTTGATAAATTTCCTTCAAATATTGCAAAGGATTTTCTATCTTCTAAAAGGACGGATATGCATATCATTCAAATGATATGCACTTCGAATTCAACGGTTTCAAAATTATTTAATGTTGGAACGGACCATTCCTATCAGAGTATAAGAGAGAGAGTAGTACAAAACATTCCCTATATTAGATTTCACAATTAGCAAATAGTGGGCACATATCCCGTTGAAGCCCTAGAAATTTATGGAAATACCCTCAGAAGCCCTACAATGACAGGAAGTCAAAAAGGCAGTACAAGGGAACTTCAGGGAAATTTACGTGCATATCCAACCAAAATTTCACTTGTTTACAAATTTCCCATAATTTTTTTATTACTACATCCATATCTATTTTTTCGCTTTTCTGGATGCAGTTTCTATAAGGCCTAGGCTTTATACAAACAAAGTAAAACCTCACCTCAAATCCTGTCTGGTGGCTCTAAAATCAATTGCTTGTACACTACTGCTTGTACACAGCGAATTCTCATGGAACATCTTGAAACAAAATTTTGAAGCAAATAGGAAATAGCCAAGGTCAAAAACACATTGCAAATGCATGTGCATGTGTACCACATAACAAATTCACAAGCAAGAGCAAACTTCAACAAATCCTTAAAATAAGCCCAAAAACAACGGAGGAAAATAACAAATATCCAAGTTCAGAAACTTATGTTTGCCATAACAAAGAAAAATTATATGGAGGAATGACCTCAAGCAGCCACAGAGGGCTTGGAAGCAGCAGAGAGGCGAGATCTCTTCTTGGCAAGGCTCTCGCTCCTCCGCTCTCTCTGTTCCTTCAATCTTGAAGCCAAAAGCTTCTGATACTCTGCGGCCTCTGACTTGGCCTTTGCTATTCTCTTCTTCTTCTCTGCCATTCTCGCTCTCTTCCTCTGAAGTGTCAACGGAGTCACTAGCCTCTGGATTTTGGGAGCCTTGCTACACTTCTTCCCTGACATTAATTGTTACCAGTAATATAATTAACATCGCTATTCAGTTTTTTGGACTAATAACATCATTGGCATCCATCATATAACAAGGCACCACTAGTTAACTGCTTTCCCATTGAATTTTTGGCTACAAGGCTTTTATAAAAAAGTTTCTTGATGAATGCTTTTTAAATCTAGTGATAATTCCTCCTTGCCACTTCCATTCTTCTCTGCACATTCTCTCTGATGAAATCAAACACTAATCTTCACTACTGGCACAGTCATTTCAAAGTGTTCCTGAATATATCTAAATTTATTAACAAGGCACCAGTAATTTACTACTGGCACAGTGGCTGTGAGTTACTCCAGTATTGAATGCTACCAACAACACATGCATAAATGAGGATAAAGCTAACTTCCACAAGCTTTTATATATGATAGGGTAATACTGAACTTGTTCCATTACAACAAATTTTAGAGCTCAAGACTCCCAAAATTAAGAAGAGAATCAAAAGAAATAGTCATACATTAATTATTTTGAAGGAAAACCCAGTTAAAATTTTAGGAATGGACTCAATGCATAAGTGGGAAGAGTGGTGGTGTGCGACAACATGACAACTTGAGTTCCATTCCTACTAAGTCACATGTCAACATTCAAAAGAAAAGTTTCAAATTGGGTGGCAAAGTGATTACCTGCTTTTGTTGTGAATGTCCGACGGTAGGTGTTGACATACTTGCGCACATCATCCTCCTTGGACAGGTTGAAGAGCTTGCGGATCTTGGAGGCCCTCTTTGGACCTCTCATTCTCGGCTTCTCCGTGTCAGTGAGGCCAGGAAGATCATTTTCCCCTGTCCAAGAAAATATGACTCAGGTCAAACTGATACAAGATTCCTGCTTCAAACAAAAATATCCATATCCTTCATGTCAAGAGGATCTGACTGATTGGCTAGGTAACGCTTTTTACATGCTTCTATATTGACATACATATATAAATGACAACCCCTCCTCCCTCCTCTTTGTATACGTGCATGTGCACACACACAGAGGAAAAAGCTACCAAATGGGTTCAATCTATTTCCTACAGTAATTTCAGCTATCCACTCAGCCATCCGATCTTGATTGGACAGTTGAGAGTGAGTAGTTTTCAATTTATTTATACATTTACTAATTTACCAATTGGATTGAACTCATATTTTGGATTGCATACTTCTGACCCTAATACATGAGAGGGAACTTTGGTACGGCTCCAATCGGCGATAAGATGAAGTGAAGTAGATTTAAGTGGGTTGGTCATGTGTAGAGGGGAGACTTGGTTCATGTATAAGGCTCTAAAAAGCCAAGGGGAAGGCCCAAAAGGACATGGAAGGTAGTAGTGAGAATAACTATGTTAACTTATAGTCTGATTGAATGGGGGAACAAGATTCATGTAGCGGATCCCAAAAAGTTGGGATAAGACTAGAATGATGATGATGATACTCCCAACTCTCATGCAACCATAAAAAATATCAAAAAACAATTTGAAGAAAATAAAATGGCCAAAACCTCTAAAAGTTTCAGGGCTATTTTGCTCATTTTATTTTTTTTAGAATTCTTTCTTTTACTTCTTTACAAGTCACACCATTGAGGTGCATACAGTGTTCCAAAAAATGTCTGAGTGGCGCCTGGATGGCCTAGGGGGTCTAGGTCACCCAGTGCCTAGCCGAACGCCCAGGTTCAAAAGGGGGCAAGGGTTGTCAGTAATCCGGTTTTAGGTCAAAATTTTGTATAAAAAATGCATGAATATGTATTTTTATAATCCAAACAATAAACAACACCAAAAATACCCACCCCACCCAATGGGTATTTTTGCACCTAGGAGGGCGCAGTCGAATAGGCACACCTAAGCGAGGTTACTAGGCAAGAACCTAAGGTCCTTGGGAAGGCGCCCAAGGACAGCCCGCCAAGTTGGTCCACCCAGGCTTGGGCGATGTGCCCAGGCCACCCTAGCCCGCCAAGGCGGCCGCGTAGGCACTAGGCAGACCACTTTTTGAATCAATGGGCACATATATTCTCAAATTTCGGCCTAATCTAAATTGTGGAAAAAATAAAAAATGAAAAACCCATATCCCCTTTCAACCGTCCAATCAAGATTTGATGAATAAGGCTAATAGAAACTATTGTAGGAAACACTTGCATACTCCCTTATATATGAGGAATACTTCCACACTCCCCCAAACGAATTTCAATAGCATTAGCTCACAAGCTAAAAACTAAGAAAAAAGAACAACAAATAATCTAGAGGGATTTGTTTGGCGTCAAATTTCACACACGCACTCTCTTGAAGTTGACAAACAATCTCAAAAAAAAAGAATAAGAAAAAAAACATAGAATACAGTTTTATTTAGAAGAGAGAATATTCAAAGAATGTTGGTCGTGCATTTATACAAAGGGAAAAGTTCATATAGAGCTGAGGCTCTAAACATATACAATCAAATTTGAGCCTACCTCAAAACTTTCACTAGAAGAAGTTGTTTTGATGCCCAAATATCCTCAAATTCATCATCTCGACATCAAGATGCATGGACATGAAAAAACAATGGATTTCAAGTTTTGGAAATAGTGTATTTTGTAATGCACTTTTGGACCGTCAATTTTCAAGATTTTCAAGTTTTCATAGATCTCTCGATCTACACGATTTTTGAAGCTTTAAACTTTATAAAGAAGATGAAAATATATTTTAAGTCTATAAAACATATTTCCAATATTGAAACCACATTTCTCGGCACTATTTGAAGGTAGGCTCTAATTTGATTGTTTGGAGCCTAGGCTCTATACAAACCACACCCTTATACAAATAGGGCTTTAAGAACTCAAAATCAGTTTTATTTTAATTTTTTTAATAGTTCATCAGGTGATGATTAGGATATGAACATGACTTAGGCAAACAAATCCCATCTCCCCCCTTCCTCCTTTTTCTAAGGCCTTGATCTAACACCATTTTTCCTTTCTCAACATTGATGATCTCTAATAACTTAATAACTACATTTTATATCTCCTTAAAAGAAACCATATTTGCTTTTTCTTTTTATAAAAGAAGTGCGGAGGGAAGGGGTGCATCAAGCTTTTTTTCATGATATTGTTTACCGGAATCAATATGGGTTGTCCAACAAATCTAGGGTCATTCCGATCCTCCTAGATAGAGTTTTAGGAGTTTTTAAGGCAGTGAGCTTCAAGTTCCAAACTGAGCTTTCCAAAAAACTGACTGGAAGACCGTTTAGGAAGTTGATGTTCCGAACCTTTGAGAGTGACACGCCAATACAAAACCTCAAGCTCTTTGAGGGACAAAGTTTAAGTCGAAAATCCTAAACTTCTTTTTTCAAAAAAAATGCCATCCAATGGTTCTAAATTGGATTAAAAAGTTTTAAATAAAAAAATGCATTTTATGTGAAGGAGCAAGTGCACAGTGTGGTTCTGTAGGACCACCCATAATAGAAAAGGTAAAAGGTGTAAGTGTGTGCTTTTAATGGGATGAGTCATCTCATTAAAATGCAAGTGTGTACACTTGCTCCCACACATAAATTGAATTTTTTCATTTAAAACTTTTTTATCCACTTTGGATTCACTGCATTATTATTTTTAAAAAGGAGTTTCGATTTTCGATCTAAATAGGAATTTTATTCAAGGGACTAAGTTTGCAATATGCTATATGCTACCTCTGTAGCACACATTACTCACTTTCTTTCAAACCATAAAAACCAGATATTTCGGAACTTGCAATTCCAAATCGGACCTTCACTATTAAGTGAGCCATTCAAAACTTGAAATTTCAAACCCATCTTTCACTCACTTTTCTAGTGAAAGCTCGGTTCAGAACTTGACAGAAGTTCCGCACCGGTTCATTCACAAAAGAGGTCAGTTGAAAACTTACGTTTCAAACCAATCTCTTGGTCAAAAGAAAAAGATCTTGGTTGGAACTTCATGTTTCAACAGGGGGCGGCATTTTGGGAAACTATAAAAAAAAATCTCAAAAAAATGGGGATACGAGCGTAAACTACAAAAAATGGGGTACATTTTTTCAATACCACAAAAATTAAGGAATATTTATGAAAATCTCCATTAGAAAAAAAGTAAACTGATAAACACTCCCGCCATGGGAGTTTCCAGTTCCCAATTTTTATGCATGATGGGAAAGAGGTAGGTACAATCGTAGACAACGGAATATATACCCTCAAAAAAATAAAAAGTGTCTAAGGGATCAAGGACTCTTCGAAAAGAAAAGATTTAAGCGATCAAGGATTACTACTTACAGCTTTATGGGTTACAGTAAATGCCTTTAGAGACTCTATTAGGATGGGAGCTAAAAGAAACCCTTCTCATGGATAGCTAACATATCTGGGGAGAAGTTTGACAGCTTTACAATATCTGCTGCCAAAAGTTTGCTCGTTTTAACAAGTATGTCTCCAGTTGCTGAGAAAATTACTGAAAATGGAATCATCTTCTAACTGAGCGTACTGAAGCTCTATATGAGTTAATTGTTGAGAAAGAAGATGAAAAGAGCAAATAATATTCGGCTAGTTCATTCTAAGAATTCTAGTTCAGTCTATGAATTCAATAGACAAATTTTAAAAACTAGATTTGGAAAATACCTAATCCCACTTCTCAAATAAATTTAAAATGGGACAAATATATGATAAATATTAAAACAGTAAAATAAAAAAAATACCCTTTTTCACAATAACCAGGTTAAGAACGGAAAGGTCAGGGCTGACGATGCATCCCCGAACAGATTTTCGGCGCCGCTCGCCATTGCGTCGACCATAACCACGGAAGCAAGGTGTCCCTGCTCAAAACAAAGGATCCGATAGAGTTATCAGTTACTTAAATATCATGTCAAAAATCTACTAAGTAAATAAGCAATGACATACCTCTGTGCAACAGCAACCTCACACGACCGGGAGTTAAAACCCCCTGTTTCATTGGGAAGCCCTGTTTATCACACCCTCCCATGATTTTGAAGACATACCCCTTAAATTCCTGTGAATAGGTAACAATTGCAGCAGATTTCAACACACACAAGTGCAAATAGGCAATAAACAAGTTAAAAATAATGCAACAACAATTTCACGAAGGTAAAATATTTCAAGTTAATAGGAAGAATAACAGTTCCATGTGCCTGTAGCTTCCTTATTTGATTTCAATGCTTTCTTAACTTATTTTTCAATCAACTGCAATTTTTTTTTTCCAATTTCCTCCAGTCTTAGCCATCTAGCATGACTTTTCTATTAGAGAGAACGATAAAAGCATACCTCACCCAAGGCATCTCCGCTAACCTCCTGAGAGATCCTCTTGTCATAAAAGGCTCGGCTGTCAAAAGCATAAATGAAAAGGAAACGAATTGGTCTACATACAGCGAAGCCAGTAAATTAACCAAGGTGAGAATGAAACATAAGCTTTAATAACAATTATGCCACTATCATCCTGAATTATTTTTTTGACATTCACTAAAGATTTACAATGTTAGGTTCGCCTCTTGTCAACAGTTATTCATGTTAGATTCTCAAAATGCAAAGTCCTAAGATAAACAAAAGAAACTTGTAAATGGCACACACATCTCCAAGAGCTGCCTGATTTCTTAACCTTTTGCGGAGGTCACCATTTGGCGCTCTAGGCCTCCAGATTTTCTTAACCTTCCTTTACTTCATGATGTGCCTATCGTAGGGTTGTAAGATAGTACGATGCAAATTTTTTCTATCTTTTATTATTGAAAAACGGGTAGAGTGCCTTCTCCCTCACTGATTTACCCAAAAAAAAAAGAGCTGCCTAATTGCAGCCTCCAATAGTCACATCCTTAAAGGGAATTTTGAGCAGAAGCAATATTGGGAAGGGGAATCACACACACACGCCCCCCGCCTGCCCTCTTTTTGCGCACATGTACACACACACATGCACACGCACACAGACACACACACACACAAAAAGAATCTATAGGGCTATGATAATACACACTCGAGGGCACATTGTAATTGAACATATGCACAAGTAGTCAAATTGTCGTGCATTAGTACATATATTAAATATTATTATGACTACCAGTACCATTACAAAGCAAATATGACCATAGATTTAACAGTACTAGGTCTCCAACATAGTCCAAATAAACCCTCTAGAGCCTACATGCTCAATTATACAAACTCAGTTTTCAGCATAGGCATAATTAATCTATCTTATCTAAGTGTATAATTGATTCAACATACTACATTAAGCCCAAAGTCCTTTTCTTTTTTTCCTTTTAGCAAATGACACAGAGATCCTCCCTGAATGGCCTGATGACTTTAGTAACAATAGATTTTCATTGTAGTTGACAATCTATAGAAACACAATATCAAAAGCATGAAAGTGGAATTGTTTCGAAATTCTAAAACTGACACAAAGATGCTATCTGAGTGGCTTTATGTCTTAAATTCTAGCATTTAGTAATGGGTTTTTGTTCAAGTCCCATAGAGGTCGTAATTGACTTACACTTATTTTAAAAAAAAAAAAAAGGTTGTACTTGACTGTACATGGAAACCCAATATCAAAAGCGTGAAAATGGGACCGAAGCCACATCACATGGCTTAATCAACACAACATGTGTCTTGGTTGCCTCACCAAATTGCATGGGCTAATATTTGGCTGGACTTATATTGTTTACTTATCTTTCCCAAAGATAGGAAGTTTGAAGGGTTTAGGAAAGCAGAATTCCATAACCCAAATTGCTCCTTCCAATTCCTAATTTACTAATCTTTACCATGATTGGAGTCCTATAGGAAACATTTAAATCACCTCACATGGAGTTAAGAAACTTCGAATTGCCTTGTACAAAATCAACATATTCCCTTTTTCAAGACTGAAATCCCTTTATACCAAATTTGGATTCCATTCGAGAGATATTAGGGGCCAAACGTTGGTACTATCAATCATTGATTGGTTTTTTTCATGTTCTTGACTTCCTCTTAAGAGTCTAAGAGAAAAGGGACAATTCTTTTTATTTCTTCTTCAGCCAACACGATTCGCCTCTTGGCCACCACACATCGTGACATTGGCTAACTCTTTCTAAAACTTTCCTAATTAGTTGATCAAGGAATTTTTAGCAATTGTGTGTCTTGTAACTTCATAAACAGAGTTATTTTCCACAGTAGCTTACTAAAGTCTTTCATCTTCTTCCTACTCTCCCCAATTTAGATTTTGCGGGTTCTTCTGAGCTTTTCAATCTCTTCTATTTAACATTCACTACCTCAATGGCCTAGAATATTCAAGGATGAAAGTGGAAAGACATTGCTTCCTTAGATAAACTGCTGACATCTTCTTCATTAAAAAAAGCAAGCCTCTTTCCTGTAAGTGTCCATGCTCACATTTCAAATTCCATTTTATCTAAGGAGAGGCCTCGTAGGGTGCAGAGTTTTCCTCTCATCCCAAATTGGTTTAAGGATTAATTTTCGACTGCCTTTGATTGCATAGAGCTCGCCTTTTCTATCAAGTTTAAGCACGATGGCAGGTCTTTGGGATGGCTGACTTCCATGTCAACTTTAATCGCATAATCTGTCATCAAGACATTTAACCCCCTGACAAGCCTTCATTCTTCTGACTAGTTAGTGCACTCCCACCTTAGATGAGATAGATTCTACTTCATGCTTACAATTCCTAGTAACTCCTTATCAACCACTTACATCCATAAGTAATTATGCCCCTGCAACTGGGAGATTTCCAATAGGGGTGAGATACAAGTTGGTCGACTTGTCGACAGGACGAGTCAACCCGACTAGGGTCCAAGTCTCAATTGATCAATAAGTTGGGTCCAGGTTACCTGGACCTGATCCAAGACGAGTATAGGTACAAGTCCAACCTAGACCAAGACTAGGTCGACCCGACATACCAGCCTAGTAATATGTAACTCATATATTGTGGACCATGACGCAATAAAAAAGGTGCAGGCCCCACAATTTGCACTGTCCAATGTAATTGAATGATGCAAATTATACCTGAAAATCGAGACAGGGGACTTTTAGGTGCGATGTGCAACATTCAATTATATTGGACAATGCAGATATCAGGGCACGCACAATAACATGTGCAGGCCCTAACGCACTAAACACAATGCTGAGTAGGTGGGAGAAGTATCTAAAATCTGCTAGTTATTAGTGGAAGAGTATAAAAAGCATGCTAGATATTTTTCAGGATAAGCATTTAGTGCGTCAAGGCCTGCACATGTTATTGTGCGAACCCTAACATCTACACTGCCCAATATAATTGAAAGGAGCAAATCACACTCGAAAACCCCTTATCTCGATATTTTGGTGCAGTCTTCTCTGTCCATTGGACGGTGCAGATTGTAGTGCTCACACGACTTTTGGTACATCAAGGCCCACACCAAATGGGGTCTTTCTTTTAAAATATAAGTTACATATTATCGTATACATATACTGGGTAGGATCAGGTTAAGTCGACAAAAACCCGACCCAATGTGGTCTAGGTTGACCTCGAACTCAAACTCAACGTAGGTCAGTACAAGTCATATGGACCCGAATTTGAGACCTCGAGCCCAGACACCTCTGCTAGAAACCATATAGCTGCATGGGCATGATTATTGGTGGAGGTAGGTAGTTGATAAAAAGCTCATGAGGCATAAGCCCAAAAGATGAGCCATCTCCTCTAAGTCTAAGGTGGGAATACACTCTTTAGTTAGACGAAAGTGTTTGTTTGGGGGTTAAAACTCTTAACCAAAACATCTATTTGAGATTTAATTTAAACATTGAAGTTAGTGAGAAGCTCTCATTTAAACATTGGAGTTAGTGGGAAAGCTCTCAATGAAAAATAGGGTTATTTATAAAGCTACATGGCAAATAACTGCTAAAAACACCTTGATCAACAAGTTTTTCCAAATTCCGAAAAGATACCACATGTAATTTGCCATGCCATAGCATGTGGCAACCAAGGTTTGAATCGTGTATACAAGAGAGGACACAAAAACACCCATATGCCCAATATTGCTAACTTTTGGTCCCCAATCTCTCTCAATGGGAATCCAAATTTCGCGGTAAAGGCATTCCAATCCTAGACAGGGAAAATATATTAACTTTGTAAAAGGTAATCTAAAGTTTACAAACCCGATGAAAGGTGATCCAAAGATTTTCTTTTGGGACTCCAATTTGAGTAAAGATTGCCTAAAAACAATTAGATTTAGTCATTAATGGAGTTTTTTTTACCTTTAGAGATCAAGCTGAAAAACTAGTAATTGAGGAACTTTTTGATCGTTAGAGGTCTATGCAAAAAGGGTAATTGTTTGTTAACTCATTTTAGAATTTTTTAGTCTTTAAGATCTCTTCCAGGATACCCCCAATTCAGTCTGAAAAACTTCAAAAACTATACAAGCCCTCACCTAACAAACCCTAACTCTATTTACATAGAGCCAACATGACCAAGAGCCCTTAGGAACCTTACACTAGGCCCCTCTACGCCTTGATTAGGTAAAACCAAAGGAACCCAGATCTACTCTCAACCTTAGATCAAAGCGCTATGTCATTAATCCCATATGGGGTTTCCAACCCTTCAAGCTCCAATCAGTCAACCCTCAATCCAAATATTTGGGTATCCAATTGAACTCAAATCCAAGTTCCAAGTGAATTCTTTGTATTAGCGAGAACTAATCTCAACTCCCTGGTATAATCCAGGCCCCAAATCTAGGTGCCAGGTACATGGGCCCGGCTCAATTAGTTTTACACTATTATCATTGAAGTTTAGTTATTTTATTTCAATTTTCTATAATACCTCTGTTTTAGCATTAGATTTATTAAACTTTCACAATTTTATTAAAAAATTTGAGGTGTTAAGTGTGATCTAGCATGTGCAGCCAGAGATCTATGGAAAGAAGATTATAAGGTCGACTTTTGGTGGATCATAGTTCAGCAATTCCAAAGTTTCTTACATTTCTCTGTGCTGCAATTAATTTTCAATTTGGACATACGTCAGAGTGGGGATATCTCATATTTCCTCACCTGAATTTGCATGTAATACTATGAATACTCTCAATGTACCTCTTGTAATTCTTTTAGTTATTAGAATTATACAATGCTATTCAATACAACCACATGGATACATCGCACAAATCAAGAATTCCCCTATGAGATTTCCATTGCATTTTCTAGAATTAAGTGTGCAATAAGATGTATGAATTATTGCATTTTCTGGACACACTTTATTTCAAATTTACATTCAAATAATATCACGATCCACCACGAGCACCATAAGAACCACTGTATCACCTTTTCTGACTAACCGTTTTTTCACTTAAACATAGGTGTACAATAGATTATTCTACTACACGTGACAACATAATAGGGGGAAAAATATATATTTCATGCTATAAATTCTATTTCTTAGAAGCTAGTATGTAGTGAGATAAACTTCATCTGATTTTGCAAAATTATGCTTGAAATATGACATTTCTACTAGTACACACACATAAAGAATTTAACCATCATACTTTGAAACTTCAGCTCTTTCCAGGTCAAACATATACAGATTAAGGTAGTCTTTCAAATGGTTCTGAAAGCTTTTACTTTCAGATTATATTCATATAACTATAGATAGAAAGAGCATTGCTAGCATTTTATTGAAATTTTTTTTTAATGTTACCATTTTCTTCTTTTTGTCAAGAGATAACACAAAAATTAAAATTTAAAGCCCACTTCTAACAATGCAGACACGTGTCAACAATGTAAACTTGTGTACTTTAAGAAAAATATAATTTAAAAGACGATCGAACTAAACGTTTAAGCTGAGAATTTACACAAATAACAAAATAACCTTCCATGTTAATTTGCGTCTAATCTGAGCACTTAAAATCACACCCCGCATCCAGCATGAACCAAACCCTACACTGAACCCCGAATCAAACCCATAAAATGAACACTGAATTACTGAATGTAAAGGGAATTAGAGCGAAAAGAATGTTACAGTTTCTGGTCGTCATCAATTTCCAGTTTCTTCTGGCAACCAGTTGTCGGATTCGCAATATTAAACTGCAAAACACATTGTCACAGATCAAAAGATCGAGAACTAGATACAAAAGACAATATAGAACAAGAATCACGGAATGAAAGAGAGAGAGAGCTTTGGGGAATTTAGGTGAGAGAGAGAGATAGACCTTCATGGTTCTACAGCGATTTAGACCAAATTATGCTGATCTGCTGTTCCCAATACCTAAAGCGAGAGAGAGGAAGACACTGCAATGAAAGAGTGAGGGAGTATACAGGCTTCCTCGAGTTGCTCGCTGGAGAGAGGGAGACTGCGATTTAGGGTTTTAGTAGCCGAAGCCGGGATCCACTCTATTATACCCCTGTGATTTCACAATATTGCGAAAGAGCCGTACCATACATGTCGCGTGCGTATATTGTACACCTACCGTTCATTCTTGTCTACGACGGTGTAAAATAGCTACGATTCTTATGCCTCGACTCGGCTTGTGAAAGACTTAAATCGAGTCCCACTTGGATGGCTGTCACCCGAAGAAAACAATTTGCTTAGGCTTTGTGCGGTCGTCCTAATGGCTATATAAGCATTTGCTTTTTTCTAACTATTTGATATTGGTTACATTTATGGTCCACCATTCTAATCTATCAAAGATCATATTGATTACTGTATTAAATGTTATTTCGAGGTGTTGAGTTATGGTCCACCATTCTAATCTATCAAAGATCATATTGATTGTTATATTAAATCTTATTTCGAGGTGTTTTTATAAACAGCTACCAAAAATAAGAATTGCTATAACAATGTTTATGACATTTATCTCTTTTTTGCCCAACTGTACTTTTCATTCTCTCAATAAATCTTGTTAATGTAAAAAAGTAAGGGGACGAGTAAGTAAACGCTTTCATATTAGTTGAGAGTCTTGCATCTCCTGTTTCACTTAATGGAAACACATTTAGCAAAAATAAACCTTATGTTTCTTTAGAATTGCCTCAATTTAAGAAAACGTTTTCACAAGCATGATTTTCAATACGACTTCCTGAAACCCCTATTTTTCATAAAATGAACTATTAACTTAGTTTTTGTTTAAGAGGATTCGTCAAGATAACCTTTAAACCTACTTTAATTTTATTCTTCTTTTTTTTGGTTCTTTTTTTAGTCAATTACTTGTGATTCATTCGGATAAATGTCCTTTTGAGTATATCTAAGCATTCATATTTTATTAGACCAAAAGATATCATGCTCTCATAGGAGTATGACTTTGAATTTTGGAATATAACGTCGTTTGCCTATAGATAAGTTTCAATAAAAAAATAAAAATATCTTCGAAAACCTTTTTTTAGATTTCAAAATTTATTTATTAAACTCTATATATTATACCTTCTAACCCTCTACACCAATTTTACCTATTTTTAACTATCATCGAAACTTATTTTTCCAAATGCTCTTCTATTATATCATAACTTCTTTTTCCAAATGCTCTATATTTTCTAATGCCCTATACCAACCCTCCCAAACCCCTTTCTCTCTCTATATTTCCCCGACTTTTCTCTCTCTCTTCTCTCCCCGTGTTTATCCCAAATTAAATTTTACCCATTTTTACCCCATCATCAAACTTATTTTTCCAAATGTTCTATTATATCATAACCTCTTTTTACAAATGCTCCACTATATTTTCTAAAGCCCTACACCAACTCTACTAAACCCCTCTCTATGAATATTTCCCCAATTCTTTCTCTCTCGTTTACCTCCCCGTGTCTATCCCAAATTTTTAGAGAGAGAGAGAGGGGTTTGAGAGATTCACAGGGAGAGAGAAAGAGAAACACATGAAAAGAGATAGGGGGTTAGAAAAGGATGTGTTTTTAAAATTTATTTTGACTAAAAATATGAGATAAAAATAAGTAAAGTTGATCTAGAGGTTAGAAGATGATATACTAGATAGAATATTTATGTCAAGATTTTGAAACCTTGGCTATATGGAGAAATAAAATCTAAAAATAAAGTCTACAAATATATTTTTCTTATTTTATATTATAGTAATATCATATGTTATTTTACACTAATATGTTTGGGTTAGGCTGGCCTTGACCAGATCCAATTCGACAAGATCCAAGTTGGACACAAACCGAGACCCAATTGAGTCAATGTCAAGTGGACTAGACCCATATTAGAACCGGTCAGATCAAGCACGGTTTATCTCTCTCTCATTTATGCCTCTAACTCTCAACAACAACAACAACAACAACAAAAATAGTTGAAGGGCAGAGAAAGAAACCTTTTCCATAAGAATTCCTTTAAGCTTTAGCTATAAGTTATTTTATAATAGTACCATATTTAAACAATATGGCATGTAATATACTAATATATAATGAAATAATAGAAAATTACATGATTAATTTTCTTCAAATAAAAAAATATAAAATTACATAATAAACAATATTATTATAATAAAATAAACAGTATATCTAAAATTTTAGATCGGGTCAACCGAGACCTAGACCCAACCCGACCTGAGTCCCTACTTCTAAACCTAGACTTGATCCAAGACCTGATCCATAAGGCCAAAAAATAGAACCCATACTAGGATCCAAGTCGGATCTTACCAAACGTTACCCGTTTAGGTTAGCCAAGTTTAAAGTAATAATAGCACACAAAAGTATTATCTTTTATCTGTACGTAGGAAAATTATACTATAACATTATTGATCTCTATTACAATACGGTTATAATTACTCTCAGCCAATGGTTTAAAAACCGGATCGGTGACCCGGATCGGGCTTTTCAAAAACCGATCCGGATCTGCGAATCGGCG